CCGGCTCTGAATCCCAGTCTGGCTCAAAGTCTGAATCAGACTCAGATCCGCCTCCCCGGAAGGGCCCACAGGCACGCAAGAAAGGTGTGGGTTCAGTCTTGTTTAAGATAGATTATATTTCTGCTTCATCCAAAATTCTAGAGATGAATGTTGTTTGATAGTTAAGGACTAAAAGATTTTACGCCCCTCTTTTTGCTTATGTAAATGTGCTCACTGTTTATTTTTTCCCTTCCACAGAAAAGCCTGCACCAAAGCCTCGTGCACGGAAACCCAAACCCGCCACCGCCCCCGCAAAACGAGCAGCTTCATCGTCCTCTGACAGCGACAGGTCAGGCTGCTCTGAGGACTCTTTTCCTGTTTATGCACCACTTATTAAACATACTAGCGTGAGGTACACACCAACTTGTTGTAAAAGGGAGCTCTGTTTTTCTTTTTTCCGCAGTGACAGTGAAACCGACCACATCAGTGAATGGAAGAAACGAGACGAGGAACGCAGACGAGAGCTGGAGGAGCGCCGGAAAAAGGAGGAGGCAGAGGAGCTCCGCAGGCTACGCGAGAGAGAGAAGGAGGAAGATGAGAAAAAGAAGAAAGACAAAGATAAGGGTAAAAAAGGGAGTGACAGTGAGAGGAGCAGCAGCAGCTCGGACGAAGGTGTAGATGATCACCCACTGAAGAAATCCAAGAAACCTCCTCCACCGCCAATTCCCGCTCCCTCTGATTCTGATTCTCCACCGCCATCTGATGTACAGTTGCTTACTTAAAAAAAATGTTAATCACCTAAATGATATGTTATATTTTGTCTAGGTGTTATTGACACATGCAACATCTTGTGCCTTTCCCATCAAAAGGTAAAGAAATCCAAGAAGCCCGACAACCAGAAGAAGGCAAGAATAAAGAAAGAGAAGGAGAAAAAAGAAAGAAAGGAGAAAGAGCTAAAAGAGAAGAAAGCCAGACGGTCAGAGGAGAAGTCCAGAGCGAGGTGAATGCACACTGGGGAACAGACTATAGTATGCAAACCTCATTAGGAGAACTTCATTAAAATTTAATGTACACAGATCACAGAGTTTCCCCTCTGTCTCTCTTTCAGGTCCAAGCCTGAAAAACCCAAACGCAAACCAGAGAGGCCGCCAGAGAAGAAAGTTGAAAAGAAAAAGGGTCAGTCTCTCATACAGTTACACTTATTTGCATAGACAGAAACTGTGCAACAGGTAGATTCACACAAAGATCTATTATGTTCCTTTCTTCTGTGAGAGGGAAAGTAGTAATTCAGTACAACATATTAAGTGTTACTTTGTGTGTCCAAATGCAGAGCCATCACCAGAAGAAAAGCTACAAAAGCTCCACACAGATATAAAGTTTGCACTCAAAGTGGACAACCCAGTAAGTGACGTCTATAGGATCTGGGTTAAATACACGTTCACTTCTTTCTGTGTGTTTTCATGCCTGCATGAAAATGTAATGTTTTGAATGTAATTGTTCTTAGGACATAGAGCGGTGTCTACAAGCCCTGGAAGAACTTGACGCCGTGCCCGTCACCAGCCAGATCCTCCATAAGAACGCTGAAGTCATTGCCACACTGAAAAAGGTGCATTTACTGTCTATTGTTTGAGTGTCCTTAAAGGTTATACCAAGTTCACCCATACTACTGGGTGTCGCACTAAAAGACCAGCCTCTCAGACCAAAACGACAGGACAGAAACGAATTAAACCAACGGTGGTTTGGTCTAAATAAAACTTTAATTCAACGAGTTCGATGTGAAAAGGCTGCAATGGCCGCAACATAAACTAACGTTAATCCTTACAGACAAATCCGCTCATACGTCCAGTTAAAGTGCTTGTTGTTGCCACTGACAGGCTCAGATTGTTGTTGTAAGTGTCTGAAAACATTAAGGAAAGGATCCCTACACAGACCTTTTGTTTAACCAGAAACAGCCATAATATCACTATCACTCGCCACCAGACTCCAGAGACAAAAAAAAGGAATTTTACCTTGCATATCATTATAATGTCATAACTTCATTCAGCGTGAACAGAAACAAAATAACAACCACTAAGACTCTCTTTGTTAGTCTTTTCACTGTTCCAACAATCACCAACTCTGCTTTGGTTGAAATAAATTCACTGACATGAGAGAAACAGCGGTTTCAGTTGCTCTGCTCAGCTGCACACAGAGCAGACTAAACCACAGAGGCTGCGTAGACACCATGACGCCGCTATAACTTTACATAGTACATAGTTGTTTGCTATAATAATGTAGATGAAGTTTTTTATGTTTGCAAGTCAATTTGCATTAAGATATAACCCACATTGTTAAAATAATGGAAAGAATATACATGACATGGTGTCTGTATTGAAACTGTTACACTTGAATAAGTAGGGTTTTCCATTGTATTGATGATGTTGGATATTCAAATACTCTAATCCACTGCTTAATGCTGCTTCTCCTTGACATGAGGAAATGTAAGTAGAAACAGCAGTACTGTAGTTTGTCATGTCTAATTTACTGTACTCTTTATTTGAATAACTCTACCTAAAAATGTGGTTTCTTATCTACTTTTAGTGATTAACTTTATATTTATAATTCACTCAAATGTGCATTTAAAAGATACCACCACTGCAGTGAAACAAATATGGTGTATTGCCTGAGTGTTTGACAAGAAAAAGGTGTTGCAAATTGGGGTTTAATAATCAGGGCTGTACTACATTTGTTTCATTATATTATCTTCTCCATTCTTAACTTCTTTCATCTCCCTTTTTTCCTGTTATGGACAATATAGATTCGGCGGTATAAAGCCAGCACTGCAGTCATGGAAAAAGCTACTGATGTCTACAACAAGTTAAAACTCCGCTTTGTGGGCAAGGGGGAGCCGCCAGCTAAACCTAAAACGGACGACAAGGAACCAGAAGATAATGAGGAGACACAAAACACAGGTTTAAAAAAATTAAAAAAGCACACACACATCCATCTCGCCTCCATCTGAGTTCTACATTACCACAATTTCATTTTCTTATATTCATCTAAATTTGCATTTTCTAGACTCCACTCCAGTGAATGGGGATTCACAACAGAAAGCAGATGACATGGAGGTAGAAGAAAAACCAAAATCACCTGCCCCGGAGGAGAATAATGATGATACTGCTTCAAGTCCGAACAGGTGAACATCCCATGTGTGACAATGTACATTATCAGTTGGCACAGGCAGCAGTGAGGATGTAAGAGCAGATCTTGGCTTCAGGGTCAATCAAACATTTTTAAGTTTAAGCGAAGAGAACCATTGTACATCTACACTTATGTGAGCATCATCCTCCCTGTTTAATATATTGTAATTTAAGCACAGTAGCCGTTGTGACTGATAATGTGCTTTCTTTTTAGACGGAGCCCAGAAAGCCCTGCTGAACAACACACTCACACGTACGAAGAAGCAGACAACGCCATCTCTGCAGAGACGGAACCGCCTGCTGTAGAAAGCTGAAAGACCCTTAACCACCACTGCAGTGGACCAAGTGCTAAAGATGGTGGCCTCTTTGTTTGACGTCATACAGTGCCCCTGGCCCAACAACATTGCAACACACACCCAGCATTTCCTACACTATCTGTTACGTCAATGTTGATGTTTTGGACATTTTGTACTATAATGATCTCAAACCAGAAGGCCCCTGTTGCTCAACCCGTTTGGTCCATTATTTATCACAAGAAAAAGGAAAGCTTATTAGTGTGATAGTTTGTGGCGCCGTGCGAGCCCCCCCTCCTTTTGTTTTCTGAAATGTACTTTTCCTTTTATACGACACTCGGCCCGTCCTGGATCCTCACCCTGTACCCCCTGTTCCTGGCTGCTTTGTTCTTTCTACCACATGAACTCTTTCTTTGGTCTTTCATACCGTATGTATATTCAATGATTACATTTTTAGCACTTCTAACCGGAATATAGGCTGGGGTAGTATGAGATGTAACTTTGATGATCCTTGTGGGGAAATGGAGCCATGACGTTAATTTTTTCGCTAATTTTTGTGCAACCCGTGCTTGCGTCGGTTGGCTTCATTTTTTTATAAAGCCTACAAAACATCACAAAGGCCTTTTTGTCTGTGTGTATGGCAATGTGAGAGTGGTAAAGTACTATTTGTGAGTCTTTTATGTTAAGTATTTTTTTAATTATCTGGTCTTGATCCAGTTAATCCAGTCTGAAATGTAAAGCCATTAATTGAATCACTTAAAACTGTTTTCCAACAGAGGTCCACTGACTTTTTATAGCCTTGTTTGCAAATATTTGCATCTAGAGTTTTGTCTAAAAAATTAATTGCTGTGGAGTTAAAACACCTTGCACTCTCGTCTCCCCATAGTGTCCGCTTTCAGTAACTTGCATAATAAATGGAATAACTGTACAGATTGAAAACTGCCCTTAAAAGCTATTGAGATCTCATGTAGCTGCAGCCTATTTTGCCATTTTCCTGTCATATGCATACAACAGGTGTTTTTAGTGCTATGTAAATTGGTAAAGCATTTCTATCACTAAGTTGAGACTTGAATAAAAATCTCAGCATGGTTTGGTTTCTATCTCATTTCTTGCTGTGGAAAACTTCCTCTTTTTTCCCCCAGTTAATTTGCTGTGCTTGTGTAAAAGAGGGTGTTTTACCAACAACTGCACCACCATATATTGCCTACTTCTACATTACTGGGACTAAATTAAAAAAGAGTAAACTCTTATTGTGTGCAATATATCCTGCTCCTCTTACACACTCCTGTTACTGTAGACTGGTTGAAATGTCCTGAGGCTCATTCAGTAATCAGAAATACTAATATAATAATCGCAGGGGGAAATGACTTACTTCACAGGACTTGCAGTGTTTTATTCTTATTTAAATGTTTGGTACTATTTTGAAATCGGCAGTGTCATACAACACTTCACTCTACTGAACTGGGGAGGGGGGGGTAGACCTTTAATTCCCCTGATTCCCATATGAGAATCTCGCATAATACTCAAGTCAGCTGACTTTGGACGCCATTTTGTCAGCCATTTCCTACACTGATCCATTGCCAGCGTCTCTGCACAGCACAGGACGCCCCGTCTGGCCTCAGCTTCATCTGCCCGGGCTTGGTAAACAGCAGCGGATCTTGCACACACGGTCCCCGGGGTGGATGAGAGACAGTCTAGCGGGTCGGTCGGCACCCACTAGACCTCTGGAAGGCGCTTGGCCCCGCAGCACAGACGCGGCACAAGTCACAGACAGACATGGCTTTGAAGATTGTCAAAGGGAGCATCGATCGGATGTTCGATAAAAACCTTCAGGATTTAGTACGTGGCATTAGGAATCACAAGGAAGATGAGGTAAAAAAAACAACACAAACGACTAACGAGCAAACGCTGTCACATGTGGCATGTTTTAAAACCTGGCATTCATTGATGTTTTTGGTTGTTTTCTTTAAGTCGGCTCATATTACCGTTACCGTTCACTAGCTAACGTTGAGAGCTAACGCTAGGTACATTAACGTTACACTCATTTCACCCGCTAGCTTAACACTTAACTCAAAACAGTCGTGGTCAGTCGGCTACTAGTGCTGCCGACAAGAGCTAAGTTAACCTGTGGTAACAATAAAACGTCGGGGGATATATATGGTGCAAACTTTGCACTTATCGTTACCTGTCGGGAGGCTTTAATGAAGGGTTGTTAGTGACAGCTAGCTAACCGAGCTAACTGACCAGTTAGAGGAAGCAGCTCGATAGATTATCACAATTTAGCAGGAGATTACTCTTCGGCATAACAGAGATCATACCAGGCTACTGCTAATGTGAACACCCTTACTATTATTAGACAGCTACTGATAACTGTGTCCTTTTTAGTGGTTGATTCAATTGGGGAGACGCATCAAGAGATCTTAAGTAATATTGTCACTTATGTTGAGTTGAGGACACCAGAGTCAATGGATTTTCTTTATGCTCTAAAAGAGGCCTGACTTGCCTGTATCAGGTTCACTTTGAGCTTTAAAAAAATGCACACATGACCATTCTCCATTATACAAACTTGTAAACCATGTGAGAGATTGAAGGTGATGTCATCCCTGTCACAGGTCTGTGGGTGATGACAGGATCATCACAGCACCAGGTCTGAGGTGGGAGCAGGGTGGGATGGGCCATTAGAGGGCACTATTTGGGGCAGCCACGTTTCCATCTCTCAGCCTCAGCCTGCACTTCTCTTAAGCTCTGCACTGGGTGTGTGTAGCTTTGTTCCTGCTGTTAAATTGCAATGTCAGGTAGTTAGATGGGGTGGGTATAAGGCAGGATCCCTGGGTTGTTGTTGCACAGAGCGGCTGGTGCTGTGCACACCTGTCTCAAGCTGTAGGTCAGGTGTGAAATGTAGAGGTAGTGTGTCTGACCTGAGGGCAGCTTTTGGATTTGATTTCTTTCTCAACGTGGCAGATTTTGTACTGCTTCTTATCAGAAAAAACAATTTACAAGCAGGGGGCTAAAGCAGCAGATCTAATCAGCTATACACAATATGCTTGGATGTTATGTCAACTATATTTGTGTCTTAATGTTTTTGATGGTATTAGAGGTTATCAATTCTTGATCTCTTGATTCAACGCATGGGCTAAGCTGTTCACAAGTGGTAACCCAACCTGGGAAGCCTAGATAAGGTGGTGGTTGCCCAGTCAACAGCGCACAGTTTGCTGAAATATTAATACGCTCTGTGTGTGTGTGTGTGTGTGTGTGTGTGTGTGTGTGTACGCCTGAGTGTGTGTTGACTTTTTCCTGGCCAACCCACAGTTTCTCATAGAGTCTATTTATTTTTCACGTGCGTGCAGATTCTTTGCACAGGTCATTCATTCACTCTCCCTCCTACACTTTTGGAACAGCAGGCATATTGAAGAAAAGTGTCCTAAGTGTAATTCTGTGAGGTTACCAGAAAGAATTTTAGGCCTATTTGTAATTGGCGTGTGTTATGTGAAAAAAAAAAAAGGTGCAGCATAGTTAGCCTCTACTTACTCATTTTTGATTTGGCGAGCACAGGCCTCCTAGTTTATCTCCAGCTCAGTTTGCATTAGGGGCTGAAAGATTGTCTTTGCCGCCCATTTGAGAACTATTTAAGTTATTTCAATGGGTTCTGAGTTTGTCATTGAAAAAGACTGTGATGGGGACGCACTGTGTGTGTGTGTGTGTGTGTGTGTGTGTGTGTGTGTGTGTGTGTTTTGGTGATCGTGTGTTGAATACCTCCCTGCCTTCCCTCCAACCCAGCTAGGCACTGGAGCAGCAGCAGGGCACAGTCCTCTTCCTGCCCCCCCCCCTCCTGTCACTGTGCTGTCTCATGACCGCACACACATGACCAGCACACACTCACACTCTACAAAGCTATATGTGTATGTGTTTGTTTTGCAAGGTTGCCCCTCTGAACAGTGGTTGGTTGATTCCAGAGGTCTAACTGAGCTTGTCCTCCGCTGTTGAATTAAATGTACCTTCTGCTCTCGTTCAGGAAATCTAGTGTAATATTGCAGGGGTCAGAGGTGGAGCTATTTTTTCTCTCATTCATTCACTCATTTGTTAAAATGCTTTAGAGGATGGGAGAGCTGTTGAGTCTCCCATTACCTTATGAATTGCATAAAACAAGCCGTGTTTAGCAACTGTGTGATTAGAGCGATACAGTTTAATCTTTAGCTCATTTTTAATATTTTCTTGCTCAGTAAGCATGGTCAGTTTGTTCTCTGACCTAAACTCTGTGTGTTAAAGTTGTGTTCCAGCCATCAGGCCATGCATGATGACAATCTCCTAGGCAAGTGGTACCATTTAATGTGTGTCAGTAATGGCCAGCATGCCAAAGCCACATCCATATTTCAACTGCAACTATTTTAGCAGTCAAACCGACTGGCACAGTCATCATGAATTTGATGACTTTAGACTTGGTATAACTTTGAATCCAACACCAATGACTCGTGACTTGACTTAAAGCCCAGAGTAGAATAATTTTGGGCTGATGCCAGAAGCACTTTAAGAGATCTAGCATGCATTATGACTTCATAAAGTTTAGGACTTGCGTGACTTGACTTGGGACTTGCAGAACCACCATCCAGTTCCACCTCCTCTGGCTGGTGTCTTGGATAGCAACATCAGACAGACCAGGATTTTCCAGCTTGGTCCTGGGGCTTGGTAGCAGCCTCCCACTCTGGATATCACTCCACCTAATCTGATCTGGTGTCTGTTGTTTGTCCTCTGTTTTGTCTGCCCTCAGGCCAAGTACATCTCCACATGCATCGATGAGATCAAACAGGAGCTCAAGCAGGACAACATCGCTGTCAAAGCCAATGCTGTGTGCAAGCTCACCTACGTAAGATTTCTCAACACTGACTCTTTCTGTCTGTCAGTTCTACTTTATACATAAGCACTGATACACACATACATGGACACCATCATAATATGGCTCTCAGCGTAAGCCTGCCTGGGAGCCAGTCTCTTTTTCTATAGCACCAGCAGGGTTAGCCATTCACTATATAACACTCAGGATTAACAAAGAAGATCATATGAAAATTATATGTAATTTGTTATATGACACTAAACAGGTAAGGAGTGTATGTATATATATATATATATATATATATATATATATATACTAGAGAGTGAGAGCTATGGAAGATGTCTTTTGAACAGGCATTGAATATGCTCAGACAGTTTCATACTATATTACGTTGACATGCACACAATGGAAAATTCTAGCTGGCTGTGTTAACTGCAGACGGGAACCGCACACAGACTTCACTCTTTGTATATTATCTTTTCTATTCAAACAGCATCATGCTGAATCAAAGGCCATTGTTTCTGCTCAAGGCTTCGTGAAAGGCAAAAAGAAATGACCAGTTAGAAACAACTTAATCAGTTTTTCAAAATGGGTACAAGGTTCCATGTATATGTTTTCTTTTAGTCACTACACAGCCGCATATTGAGAAGAGTGTACAATTTATGTTTAAATAAAAGCACTCTATTTATAGCCTAGGTCCACATTTTGATTTAGATGGCATGATGCAATTGGCATCCATTCTGACTTTGAGAGCTTTCAGCTCAAATCATTTAGCCTCTCAGTGCATCATAGGGACAGCTTAGAGCCCCTCTTCTCCTTTTATTCACCCACATCTCTTTGTCTCCTTTCTTTTCTGCGTTACAGCTTCAGATGCTGGGCTATGATGTCAGCTGGGCCGCTTTCAACATCGTTGAAGTCATGAGCTCCTCCAAGTTCACATACAAGGTACGATTGGAGTATAATGCGAAGTCTTGGAAATGCAATTCTCCCAATGTCTCTTTCTTGACATAATCTTGACTAATGGGTATGATGTTATGACTGTGGTGTATGCCAACGTGTAGATTTGCCAGGACATTATTGTTGAGGTACAAACAGACTCACCAATCATTTCTCCACATAGATACTCATCTGAAAATAGCACAAGGAATAGTCACAGCAGAGCCAATGTACGCTATAGATCAGTCTCTGTGAAAGGTTGAATGTTTGTAATAATAGCAATGTACTGAAATATACATTATGTAATTACACAATATGTCATTCTTTCTGCTTTCTTCTCTTCCTACAGAGGATTGGCTACCTGGCAGCCTCGCAGTGCTTTCATGAGAGCACTGATGTCATCATGTTGACAACCAATCAGATCCGAAAGGTCAGTTATGTTCCGTGTCTGTGCCCCCTATGAATATTTCTTTGCTGTTATTCATCCCTCGGCCAACCTTTTCTGTCTTATGGACTCTTCATTTTGACCTTTTTGTTTTTTTTTTTCCCCTTCAGGATCTCAGCAGTCCCAACCAGTATGACACAGGTGTAGCCCTTACTGGCCTCTCTTGTTTTGTGACCCCTGACCTGGCTCGGGACCTGGCCAATGACATCATGACACTGGTGAGTCATGGACAATATGTCAAGAGGTTTATCAACAAGGACTGTCTTTTCTGGCTACAGTTAATGACTCCATTTTAACTCCTCCGGCATCTTTATTTACCTCAGAACAGTCGAGAAGAGGTGGTTTTCCTCTATTCTTTAACAGGTTGAACACAACTGTCTCTACTGTCTTTACTTTTTTCCCAACCTAGATGTCCCACACTAAACCTTACATCAGAAAGAAAGCGGTGTTGATCATGTACAAGGTGTTCCTGAAGTACCCAGAGTCCCTGCGCCCAGCTTTCCCCAGGCTCAAGGAGAAACTGGAGGACCCAGACCCAGGTATCAGGAAAGACACTGCATGATAGACTCAGCTGGAAACTCCTGTGGACAGGCTTTCTTTGTCACCTGAACCCTATGAATTATTCAGCAACTAAGAATATGAGATTAAGGAAGGCTCATTTGTGATACTGCCAGGGCTGTCTGGGAATATTGACCAAGTCACACGATCTATTTCTGTTGCACAGACAAAAGCATCTCACAGGACATTTATCTGGTTTTGTAATTTTTTTTTTAGCCATACTTAATTCAACCTGACCCAATAAACACAAATAAATTAATTTAATAAATTATGTTTAATTATTTTTTGTAAACTTATTGTGACTACTACATTTTTATTGATTTATTTGTTTTTTTGTTCCTGTGTAATGCATTTTCTCCTCTTTAGGTGTCCAGTCTGCAGCAGTAAATGTTATCTGTGAGCTGGCACGGAGAAATCCCAAGAACTACCTGTCTCTGGCCCCACTCTTCTTCAAACTCATGACCTCCTCTACTAATAACTGGGTTCTCATTAAGATCATCAAACTGGTAAGTCATCAGGATACTTTAAGAGTTTGTGGATTCGTGCAGAAATTGCACACATGGTCTTATATTGCTGTATGTACCAGCAGCATACGATACTATACTGTGCACCACCAAGCTACAGTTTAGTTTTACCCACAGTATTCCACCAATCATACAGGGAGAAATCCATCATAAAAGAGGAATTGATACTAGTTCCTCCACTAGCATTAACCTCACTTGACCAAAATGCAATAAAGTCACATGACATGTTGTGTTTTTAAAGTAACATTTCTTCTCTCTTGACTAAATTAGAGCACATTTTTACAATATAACTTCCTGTATCAATCAGTGATCATGAACAGATAGGATAGTATCAAGAGTAGTTTTAATTTTAGAGGAAATTCTGATGTGAGAGATGTTCAACTGTGAGTCAGGGCACCCTTTGTGTTTGTTTTACAGTTTGGTGCACTCACACCACTGGAGCCACGGTTGGGAAAGAAGCTGATCGAGCCTCTGACAAACCTAATCCACAGGTGAGATGAAATCCCTCAATTCTAAACGTTTTCACGGATGATAAAAGCAGTTTCATCTGGCCGGTATATCAATAATAATCTCTCTCTCGCTCTCTCTCTCTTGCTCTCTCTCTCACTCTTTCTCTTTCTTACCCTGTCCTCCTTTCTCACAGTACCTCTGCCATGTCTCTGCTGTATGAATGTGTCAACACTGTAATTGCAGGTCAGTACTGGTATTCTGTATGCAACGTAGTGGTCTCATTCAGCTTAATGTGTGTTTGGTATAGTAGTTGCCAGAATTTCAAATGTGAATTTATTGTTGCCTCTTAGAAAAATCCACATCTTTTCTTCTCACAAAATGTTATGTTCACAGTCACATCTAATAGTTTCTTTGTCCCGCATTGCAGTGTTGATTTCCTTGTCCTCTGGGATGCCTAACCACAGTGCTAGTATCCAGGTAAGCCTCTGAGGTCCACTCCTCTATCTGCACTTTCTTATAGTTAGATGTTGACCATAACCCTTTCCACTCCAGTTGAACCACAATGCATGCTTTCATCAGAGACACAGCAACTCTCAGGCAGGCCAGCGATAAAGCTCATAAAGCTGTTTGCTTCTTGCATTCAGTCCTATCAGCAATGCATGAAAAAATCCTATTGCACCATCGAATATATAGGGCCCATTTCCCCCCACTTTTGTTCGTCTGACCGCATGACAAGACTGAAACTGGTGTCGAAAGGTTTACAGTGATGTTAATGACTATCACTTTCTCCCCCCCTTTTCTGTTGTTCTCCCTCTATCTATCTATCACTTTCAGCTCTGTGTGCAGAAACTGCGAATCCTGATAGAAGACTCGGACCAGAACTGTGAGCCCTCTGTCAATGCCTGCAGTGTGTCATTTTCTCATTGTCTGCGTGTTTCTGGAACAGTCAACCCTTTTAGACGACAACAACGTAGACCCCTTGACTCTGGATAACTCGAACCTTATTACCTTCCCATTCTCAATTAGGCGGCTTGCTTAGGATGCCATCTCAATTAAGTGGCATACCTTGTGTATGACACAGGAAGTGAACTTACAGAAGAGTTTTCCTGATTTGTTAGTTCAATCTGAAAGGGGTAAAAGTTGCCATTTTCAAACATGGAGCTTAAATGCTTAAAATACACTCCTTTGGAAATTTCAAGTTTGAGTTTGTGCTGAGCATGCAGCATCCAGCCATTCGAGTTATCTGGATAACCATACGTAGATAGTTGTGTGTGAGTAGAGTTATAGACCTGTTAATAGAACAGACTGTGAAACTGTGGTTTTGTGGTTATCCTTTTACCACGCCTCTGATTGGCTCTCATAATCACGCTTTAGGTAAGAAGCCGGATTTATACATCTCTGACGACCTAGCCTGACAGTCATCTCCCCAGAAATGTAACAACACATTGCGGCGACGCAGACCCCAACAACTGTGATTGGTCTGCTTTGTGTGTGTCAGCCTTGTCTGAGAATGGGGAGCAACTCACGCGAAACCTGAGTTCATAATGCTGTTTGAGAATCCCTCACACACACACACACACACATTCTCAGACTAGCGTGTCCTCACGCACACATACACAGACAAACAGGCAGCATCATTCTTAATGCATTAGGTGTATTACAGTATACTAAAATAGTAAAATAAATTACCTTTAAGTCACTGTTTTTAGATGCATTATGTGTTGACACAAACACAAGATGCTATAGATTTATTCCACTCTTAAGTTTATAATCTACACTTTAACTGAAATTTTCAAATGTTTTTTAATGAACAGGAATAATCCTGGAAAGGCAGCGATGTAGTAAACAATCGTTGAAATGCATGCTCGCTTTCTCCAGCTCACATTTCATCGCTCAATTGAGAGAAAGTTTCATTTGAACCGCTGCTGTCACTTTTCCATCACAGAGTAGATTCAGAGGCTGTGTCGTTGTCTCCTGCAGCTACACTGAGGCCACATCCCTGATCATTTCTGCAATGTATTCACTGCAGTGACCAGCGTCACCTCACCCCAAGGTCACTACCACACACACTTATTGATCCAAGAAGCCGAGAGGCATTTGTCTCTGCCAGATTAGATGATCAACAGAAGGCCGTGATTCAGCAGATTTCTGAATTTAAAAAAATCTGTTAGGTGAGTAGGAAAAGCTGCCAGGATACGACGGAGGATAAAGCAAAGCAAATCAAAACAACTGGGTCCAGTGTGTGTGTGTGTGTGTGTGTGTGTGTGTGTGTGTGTGTGTGTGTGTGTGTGTGTGTGTGCGTGTGCGTGTGTTTGTACCATGTGTATGTGTTTGTGTGTCCTTTCCATTGTTCTGTGTTTTGTGTTCCTTTCCTTTTTGATATTTGATATATATACAGTTTGTTATTCCCTCTACATTTTATAGATTATTCCATAGAAGAAAACATAACAGTAATTTGTTTATATTGTATTCAAATATAGATTTTTTCTATATACAGCCAGTTAGGCTTTATAGTGTGACTAGATCTAGGGAAGTGTAGTATAAACTGAATATAATTTGTCTGCAACCAGACATTATATTAAAATCAAGTAAGGATAGTCAGGAACTTGATTAAGACAATATGACAGCAAACATTGTTGTTAATTCAGAGAATAATTTCAGGTGATACAAGATAAAGATCAAAATACCTAATGTAGCTACTTGATAGGGTGCAAGACGGCTAAGGGTGCGCTTGTGTCTGTTTTTAAATACGCTAAGGCCTTCTGTGTTTTATGTTTTTGAAGTGAAGTACCTGGGCCTGCTAGCAATGTCAAAGATCCTGAAGACCCACCCCAAGTCAGTGCAGTCTCATAAGGACCTCATCCTCCAGTGTCTGGATGACAAGGATGAGTCCATCCGCCTGAGAGCTCTGGACCTGCTCTATGGCATGGTGTGAAGCAACAACTTTTATTTTTACTCATCTATTTGTTTGTTTGTTATTCATCATTTTTCAGTTTTAAGAAATGTGTTTCAGTGCCAGATAATCTTGGTTTCACTTTGAATTTCTATTTTTGAAAATTAACTCAATACTTAGCAGGGCAGGAAACTCCCTTCTTTGCCATAGCTACTGGTGACATGATTTACTAGATCGGTTACTATGGGTTTGTCAGGGAACGACACAGTAGCTGGCCAAAGTAAGCTAATAGATGGTGTAGAAACTTCTGCAGGTGGTGTTGACTCCAGTGGTTGTGTGATATTATATTATCCCATATGGACAAATTCTGTGATTTATTCCCTGTACAAGATATTACACAATTTATTGTTCTCTTAATTTTAAAGCTGTTTTGAGGACATTCTGCCTCTTTCAGCCTCAAAATATCATATTTTTTACATTCATGCATGTAATTTGATTGTTGTTGAACTGGTGTTTGCTCTCCCAGGTATCCAAAAAGAACCTGATGGAGATTGTAAAGAAGCTGATGCTCCACGTGGACAAAGCCGAAGGAACCACCTACAGAGATGAGTTGCTCACCAAGATCATTGACATCTGCAGCCAGAGCAACTACCAGTACATCACCAACTTTGAATGGTCAGTCTCGCAGCCAGGGACTCCACACCACCATCGTCTTATACTTATATACTCTATATTTTTAAACTTTGTTTGATGTTTTTTTCCACTCTGTGACACAATTTTCAACTGCACCTCTCCACGTCTGCTTGACAGGTACATCAGCATTCTGGTGGAGCTGACCCGATTAGAGGGCACACGGCATGGCCACCTCATTGCCTCTCAGATGCTGGATGTGGCAATTCGGGTCAGAGCCATCCGGGTCTTTGCTGTTGCCCAGATGGCCACCCTGCTTGACAACGCTCACCTGTTGACAGGCAACATGCAGCGAATGGGCATCTGTGAAGTGTTGTATGCTGCAGCCTGGATCTGCGGTGAATTCTCGGAGTAAGTAGATTTATCTCATAGGGATACACACACACTGCTATAAACGGATTGTAGAAAAGTAAAAGAAGGCATATTTTTCATTTTGTACACAATAGGGTAACGGTAAACTTGAAGTACTTCAGCAACCCTGCATACAAATTTCATGTATTATATAGTAAGATATCCCATAATTCCCAGTTGAATGAATTAACTTACAGCTTGGTTCAGTTACTGCACTCTGCACCCTCTAACATCCTCTTCTAAATTCAAATAAGTGAGAAGGTTCTCATCGGTAATAGAATGTCTGTCTGTATATTCTCATATTTTTCTCATATTTTCAGATGCGTATTTCTTATCATGAAATAAGTATTACATCAATGTCATGGTGGAACGTACATTGTGATAGTGTAGTTTTCACTCAGGCTTTTTCTAAATCCACCCCCTCTTTTTAGACACCTGGAGAACCCGATGCAGACGTTAGAGGCCATGCTGCGGCCTAAGGTGGCCACCCTACCAGGCCACATCCAGGCAGTGTACGTGCAGAACGCAGCCAAGCTGTTTGCCACTGTGCTGAAGAACCAGGAGGGAAACACGGACAGCACAGCAGCACAGGAAACCAGCCAGCTAATGATAGACAGGCTGCCGCTGTTTGTCCAGAGCGCCAACCTGGAGGTGCAGGAAAGGGTAAGCTAGAGATATGCATATATGTCACAGTTGGGTTTTCTTTTGCCCAAACTCAAAATACAGATCCTGCTTTTTACCTTTTTCTGCATTTCATATCTCACAAGGTTACCACTACATACAAATCTGATAAATAACCTCACTAATCTCCACGTCTGCCTCGCCTTCTGTCTTGTCCTCAGGCGTCTTGCATCCTGCAGCTGGTCAAGTACATCCAGAAACTGCAACAGAAGGACGTAGAAGTAGCAGAGGAAGTATGTGCTCTGTTTGCTGGAGAACTCAACCCTGTAGCCCCCAAGGCACAGAAGAAAGTGCCTGTTCCTGAAGGGTGAGTGGGCTCAGTACATGAGGACGCGTCATTAAAACTACACTGTTACATAGTTTGACATGACTGTAAACCCATAGTGTTTGTTCATACCATGGTGGACCAGCAAGATTAGCTGAAACTTCAATGCTCACATATGTCTCTGTGGGTCTTGACCAGTGAAGTGAAACTGAGTTTGTTTGTGTAGTCTGGACTTGGATGCCTGGATCAACGAACCTCCATCAGAGAGCGAGTCTGAGGATGAGCAGCCTAAGGCTATTTTTGCCAAGGAGGAACCCAAACACTCCCGCCCTCGTCACACAGAGGTGGACGAGAAGGAGCTGGCAAGAGTAAGCTGGTCGATTACTGTAGTATTTCTGAATTGAACAAGCAATACTGTTTTTTTTTTAATAGTATAGACGTACAAGTGCATGTAAAAAAAAAAAAGGATCACTTCATTATTTTTTAATGACCTTAAATGTTTAGAGAACCTTTTTAATTGTTCTAGTTTTATCAGTGACATACAGATAAATTTTTTGTGTGCACTTATATGTTGTAGTGTTATTTTATTTCACTACTTGTATACTAAATTAAGACATTCATATAAGATGAAAAAGTTTGATTTGTTTCTTTTTACTATAAATCTGACTTCCCACATGGTTCCTCTCACAGGTAGGCTGTGCCTTCATTGATTAATTAATGCAACTGTATTTCTTTTCCCCACACCCAGAGGAGAGAAGCCAGAAAGCAGGAGCAAGCCAACAATCCGTTCTACATCAAGGCATCCCCGTCCTCTCAGAAGGTGTGCAGTCATCGCTTAATTTTTTCACTACACAGTACATGTCTCAGTTTATTCCAGTCTGTTTAACCTGACCTGTATAAATAATAATTGTAGCATATAAATTATATGTAGTTGGATATGTATACACCATAAACACTGTTTGGTAAGCCATGTTTTAAATTAATGTTTGCTCTGTGTAGGCGTACCAGGAAGCCCCTGGAGTGGAGCACATCCCAGTCGTGCAGATTGACCTCAGTGTGCCTCTCAAAGTCCCAGGTGGGACACACTGTTCTAACACTACCACAAAACACTAAATACCGAAATCACAATGGCTTACTTTACTGCAGTCGCACTACATGTCGTACTATAATCGAATTACGATATGTTTGTTTTATGAGTAGTAAATTAAAACCTAGTAGACATTGCTGTCTTCCGTCCCGCAGGTCTGCCCATGTCTGACCAGTATGTGAAACTGGAAGAGGAGCGTCGGCAGAAAGAGAGAGCGGACAAGAAGAAGAAGGAGAAGAAGAAGAGGAAAGAAAAGCGCAGCGGGCGAGGAAGGAAACATGATTCAGGACCAGAGAGCGAGGAGGACATCACGCCTGCCCACATGGTTGACATTGTTACCGAGGAGATGCCAGAGGTACACCGGAGCTGTTTAAACATCACAATGAATTTGAAAGGGAACGCTAGAACTAATATGATATCTGCCAAAGCCAGAAACATGGGGGATCAGATTTGATCCTTTATTTATATTGACAGGCATCATGACTCATCGTATTAAATATATATTTGATTTCATCATTTGTATTCTACATAGGGCTGTAATTTACTGTTCAAAGATATATCAGTTTTCCTCTCTAAATTATAACGCTGTTTACACATTACTCTGACCTTATTATTGACCAAAGCCAACCAACAATATTGTGTCTCAGTCAGAAATAAATACCCTTATTGCTTGTTTTATTGGGTTCACAGCTGTGAGACAACTGAGACTCGAAGTCAATATCTCAGATCTTTCTTTTTGTGGGTTGTGGATGTAGATTTATTTAGAAAGTTATTAATTGTGTTTCATTGATTTCACCTTCTCATTACTTCAGAATGCCTTACCCAGTGATGATGATGACAAAGATCCCAACGACCCTCATAAAGCCCTGGACATCGACCTGGACAAGTGAGTCCTCCCTATGTAGATCCTAATTCTACATATTCTCAGACCCTTGTGTAAATGTTGCTCTTGATATAAGCAATTAATGTTAAAGTTGCTGAAACTCGTCATTTATATCTGACTGAGCTAATCGAATTCGATTTTTCAGTCCAAATTTAGAGCTGAGACACACTGAAATTGAATCTTGAATGATTGTTTTAATTTGGATATTTTCAGAATTTATTCCTGACCCTCCCTGCCGTAGTGTCACAGCCGATGTGACTCGGCCCTTTCCCTCCTCTCACTCCTTCTCATGGCGTTCTGCTTTCTGCTTCCTCTTTTCTATGCCTGCACACACCCCATTACTGCCTCTTTGTGTGGGCAGCTTGTTGGAAGCGGCTGGGCGCAGGTGAGTAGCACCCCAGCCACAGGACCTGGGCTCCGACTGTACATGGATTGCTTTCTTTTTCTCGTTCTCTCTCTCTCTCTCTAAATAGTTGTCTTGCTCCTCTCACTAATATAGCTGTCCTTTCTTTCCTCATTTGGAGTTTGCAGTACCTGCTTCCTCTTTTTGCTCTTTTTTCCCCCTGTTTTTCCAAATTCTATTGTTCATTGTAGCCTAGTATGATATCCAGTATCCATTTTCTCTTACCCTGCTTCTTTTTTTAACTTCTTGACAATGTCAGCAGCATATTACTCTGTTTATATCCTTTTTTAAAAGAAGAGGAATGCTGTTAAAAGAAGATAAATCTTTGATATGGATTATATAGTTTAATAGACATAAGATCATTTCTAACTGGCTGCTGCTGATGTTCTCAGGACTTAATCTTTTACCACATGTCCTCCTGGAATAGGCTCCTAAAAGCATGTTGACTCCTGTTTCTCTTGGAAAAGATAATCGGCATCAATATGCTTTTAGGAAACTTATCCCAGGGGTTAGATACTACAATTTTTTGCTTACATTTCCCAGATCCTGCCTCAGTTGAGTTCAGTAGACTCACCATGCCTTTAAATCCTCACCAGCTGTTTTTTAAGTAGATGCTCCTTGCCTGCCCTGGGTGGAAATAACAAGCACATGTGCCCTTAGACCAGTACTATGACTTAGATATCTTAGATTATTTGGATGTTGTAAGATTAAACCCATGTTTTAGACTATGAAAGGAAAAGGAGCAGAGATGATGCAGGAGTTATTGTAAACATCTGTAAGAAACTGTAGTACATACATGTATATGCTATATGCATTTCTTTCACTGAAAATTGTCCCCAGTAGCAACAGATATTATATTTTTAACATTGTCTGTTAGATCACTGAAAACTATTATTTTATTACTATTACTATAGACTGCTGCTGCCTGTCTCTGGTCAGTCTCAGGGTTTGTCTGATGGCTTTTTAGTTGACATGGTTCAAACATCAACAATCCCAGAAACGGCTACATACATTAGACATTATTGTTATGCATACAAGCACACACACTATGGAAGTGTGCAGGAAACAAAGTGCATAAATTATAATGAACAGTCTTTCTAAGACAAAAACACACAGCCAAAGACAAAGTAAAACTCCATAGTGAAGCTTAACTGGAACTGAAGACAGATAATAAATGTACGATGATTATTACCCAGGTCGAGGTAATGACGGATAACAATGTGTCTTTATAGAGAATAACCAGCAGGGGGCTGCAGTGCATGTCATTGCTGCTTTAAAGGGTCATGCTTGGGGAAATAAACTTGACAGCTCTTACTAGTTGGAGGAATTTATTGGTATAGTTTCTAGTTGTCTGGGAATTTCCAAAGCTTCTATCTCCGCCAGGGGAATGGCTTACCTCAATGCTTTGAATGAGAACTGGCTGCTGCACAGTGCAGAATATGTGCCTGAATATGATGGATTGCTGCACCCTAAATCTTATTGTTCACCTTTTCTAACCGATTAATACTTAACTAAGAAAAAAAAGGAAGTTACAAAATATTTTCCACATGATGGCTGAACTCCAGGTGAGCCATAATCACCTCATAGGTCCAAAGTGAAAATGTGTATCTGTGCATTTTTGTTTATCCAGGCCACTTGCGGACAGTGAGAAGCTACCGGTCAGGGCACACCGTGCAGCAGAGGCTCCAAAAAGCCCGGCAGAAGATGGAGAAGCAGAGAATGCTGCTTCACAGGAGCCCAAGAAGAAGAGCAGCAAAGAAAAGAGAGAGAAGAAGAAGGATAAAGATAGGGACAGAAAGGTGAGGATAAAATGGCAAAAGGATTATGCTCCTTTCTTCCCGGAAAACCACTTTCACCTCATTCTGTCAATGCTTTTTAAAAAAAAAAAAAAACAGTAAAACAGATTTATGGAGCGGTTTGTGCAACGGGAAAACAACAGAGCTGTCAACCATTATGACGTGACGGGTCGGTGGTTGCGGTTCTCAACCTTATTGTGACACACAGCCGAATTTATCCTCTTGTTTTGTTTTTTTTTTGTTTTTATTTGTAGAAGAGCAAAGAAGAGAAGAAGAAGAAGAAACACAAACATGAAGAAAAGGGGGAGGATCTCCTTGGGGGTCAGGCAGACGAGCCTGTGGTCCAGTCAGAAGAAACCAATGAGGTGGCTGCACTGCCCACCTCCACCAGTGCCGAGGTATGTCCCTACGAAAGGGTGGAGCGAGGCTGTTTCCTACCTAGCAACAGAGTTGATATCTTATGTCTGATTTGAGCCAGAATTCTGATTTAAATTTCATAATTTGATGTAAAAGTTGTAGTGAAAAACAGTTTAAAAATATCATTATATGTAGTCTACAATTTCTGCTAAAAGGTTACATGCAAGCAGATATCTTTGATCATATTCATTGACTCAACGCTCCCATTGCTTCTTCCCAGCCTGTCTTTCAATCAGCTTTAGTGATCAAGTATCAGTTTCCTCGTAGCTGACTGTGCGGTCTCTTGCCAAATACTTGATTTATTCATGAAATAGAACAGTGTAATCTCTGTATCCATTTTCATGAATAGTAGAAAGATACAGAACCTGTTGGCCCCTCACCCCTCTCACCTCCTCGCACTCCTCTCCCTCCCTGCCTCTTCTAGGTTTCGGATCTGGATTTCTGGCTCTCAAACGCTCCAGTGCCCTCTAACACCCAGGTTGAGTCACCCCCCCCCTCTCTCTCTCTCTCTCTCTCTCTCTCTCTCTCTCTCTCTCTCTCTCTCTCTCTCTCTCTCTCTCTCCCTTTCCTAATCTCTACAGTTTATACATATCTCTTTCATAACTCCCATGTTTTATCGATCTACCATTATGCGTTGGTTTTTGCCATACGTTTTATTGCCTCTTGATTTGGATCAGTTGTTTTTCCACCTCTTCCACACCTCACCTTTTTGACACAACTTCCTCTCTTTGGCAGGTCACATAACACTTTCCTCTCTCATTCTCCAGCCTTCCTATGTTTTCTAGCATGATTGTATGTATGCCTGTGTACACAGTATGTGCGCATTTGTCTCACAAGTGGTTCTCTTCCTCAGCTTTTGTTTTGCTCGCTGGGTGTCGTGTCGGTCTTGAGGTCAAAGTAGATTTTGTTGCTGTTGTTGTTGTTGTTGTATTGGTGGTGTTGACAATTGAGCAGAGGTTGTCTGAGGTTCCCTGAAATCTGGTCTGGAGTCAGTTCCTTTGGTTCCTGTTGTCACCACATGTGTCCTTTTGACTGCTTCCTCCATGAGCACACATGGGGTCGTGCTTGTCTTTGTTTGTGTTTGAGTGTCACAACTGTACAACAGAGAAAAAAGTAAACCGTAAGAAACAATCATTTTAAAGAGAAGCCCTGATATCTCACCTGGTAGTGCTGTGCCCTATGTACCAAGGCTGAGTCCTTCCTGCAGCAGCCAACGATTAAAGTCCGACCATCTTGAGCTGTCCTATCTAATAAATGCAAAAATCCCCCTGTGAAATGTTTAGCCACTAGTAGTGCGATAGAGCATTGTTTTTAAGAGTGTTTGTACGCACATGGGTGGCACAATGCCCAGATTTGAAGCTATTCTGCTGATCAATAACGAGCGTAGGAAATGTAGCAACACGCCAACACAAAAAGATTTTGAGAAAAACTGAATGTAAACATAACCTTTTTAATACCTTTTTAATAACAACACAAAAGGAGATTTTTATGAATAAGGTTTGAAATTAAGGATTTGTTACCATTGGACAGAGCCAGGCTAGTTGTGTCCCAGTTTCTACTCTTTAAGCTAAAGAGTTCATATTGGAGATATGAGTGTCTCTTACCAATAAAGCCCCAAAATGTCATACTGTTGCCTTAACTTTACAAAATAGCTTTTGACATTTACCACAGATGTTAACACAGACTTTGTTTTGCACCCTCCATACCTTTCCATCTATAGATATGAGATGTGTTCAGTAAAACCAGCGCTGTCAGTCATGTTAACTTTGGTTTTGAGGAATTCTGTTTTTAATCATGTGAGCTGTCAGCCTCAAGCACTGTAAAAGCACTTCTGACCTAGAAATTGGACCTTTTTAAGGACATGCCTCAACATGTCTCTGGAAGACTTGTTACTGTATTAACTGTCACACTAGCATGACAGATCAGAATGTGATTTATCAGGAGCTTACAAAATAATATATGTAGGCTGTCACTTGGATCCTGTAAAGCAGGCTCTTAAATCTGTTGGCAGAAGCTAGTTAGTATAATCAACCCAGCAGTCCCAAAACAAAGCCACCATACATGTACAGATACCTTCAGACATAACATACTTGTTGGTGTCTCAGGCAGGCTCATTTGTGCTCCTTTGGCTGGCCAGTAGTCTTGCATGTAATGCTCTTGATTTGGTAGCTGTATGTTTGTGGTATCACAGAGCTCACTAGGTTGCAGCTGATGATGAATGATGTTTTTATGACTGAGGGAACTCACTAACTTCACTTACCTCTGTTGACACAGAAACTGAACATTGCTATGTGTGTTACATGCTATGGTTTCTCGCTGCTAATGCCGTCATGTGCTTTTGTGGTGTGTGTGGTGTGTGGTGTGTGGTGTGTGTGTGTGTGTGTGTGTGTGTGTGTGTGTGTGTGTGTGTGTGTGTGTGTGTGTGTGTGTGTGTGTGAACAGGAAGCAGCAACGGTAGCAGAAGCAGCCCCCGTGCCTGAGGCAGCCTCTGGCACGGCGCCAGACTCCGAGCCCGAGGAGCCCAAAGACACCGAGATGGAGGAGACTGTGAGTCACCACTGATGATGCGATAATAATGAAGTAAAAAGTTTGGCTGCGGTGCTAGAGATTCCAGTTCACAGTGACCTGACAGGATGGGGATTATTGGCAGGTCTTATTCTCACAAGCTTGTGTAAATGATGTACCAGGGAGCTGTCAGTTCTTATGTCGTCTCTGGAGGAATATTTCTACCGGTGGCCATGTTTCGTGACCAATTCAGTTTTCAACCTCATTGAATTTCTAATAAATTGTCTCCATCCTTCAATGATTAGAAGTCCTCCAAACACAAGAAGAAGAAGCAGAAAAAGGAGAAGGAAGAGAAGGAGAAGAAAAAGAAGAAGAAGCATCATCACCATCATCACCACAGTGATGGAGGTGGAGAGGAGTCGGTGCAGAATGGCACTGTGGAGGAAGAAGAGCCTCTACCGGTCAGTGTTTGTCATCAGCGGTTTAACCTCAGTCAGAAGTCTGAATGACAACATTCAGCACTCTGAGCACAATTTATGCATGTCTTTTTTTATATGCATTCATAAAGTTCTGGACTTTCCTCTTGATTTAATGTTGCTTTTGGGGCAAGTCACTGACCTCAAAGCCACAAATAACTTGATGCTCCACGTAGGCAGTATAATTTATCATCATTCTAATCTGTGCCTTCCAAGCACCACTGTTTAAACCCGATGACCGCTGCAGACTGTCATACACACACACACACACACACACACACACACACACACACACACACACACACACACACACACACACACACACACACACACACACACACTGCCTTGCTTGTTACACACCAGCTAGGTAGAACCAGCTCCTGTTGCCTAGTTAGCATACTGAGTGACAGAGAATGCCTGATCTGACCTGAGCTCTTCTCTCCTTTCAGCCCATGTCCAATTACTGCCTGCTGGCTGAGAACTCCTACATCAAGATGGTGAGTGATGAGCGATTGAAATGCTGCTACTTTTACCACTGGACTCTGATAATTATTTTTTACTCATTATTTTTAATAAGTGCCTGCCATTTGGCCTCATTTTGGTCATGATAACATTTAATTCTATAGCCACATTATATTATACATTATCATGCAGCTTCAGCAGTGCTGTTACCGCCATAAATGACAAAGCACCACACAAATGTGTCAAACATTATCAAATTGGGTTGGGAATTCCTTATGTAGCTTTCAATCATGTTTACATTCTCTTCACTTAATAATATAGGGTGATGCTGAAAGGGTTTGGACTATACATGTGTTTGCTTGTTTGACTACAACAGACACTATCGTCTGATTACTGAGAAAGACAAATGTATATTTGATCATCTGATTGTCCGTTTCCCCTTATTCCTCTCAGTTGTGTTGCTGTATCACTGCAGACCCATATCTCTGCAATAATAAGTAAAATAACCAATAATGAGATCCACATCAATCAAATTCCAACCTTAACGCCTCTGTGTACACAAATGTGGAAATGATCATGGCAAACACAACCAATCAGCTAATCATAATCAGCTAATGTCCATGCTTGATATTAATGTGGAAGTTATCTAAGACAACAGTAGCACAAACAAACAAAGTATGCAGATCTCTCCTTTTCTCTCCCATCTCTTTAAAGATGATGGAGGATGCTGATGAGGTACTGGTTAAAGTTCTGTCAGTGACAGAATATAATGAAAACTCTTTACTAGATGTGTTTCTGTTCTTGTTGCTCTTCACAGACTGGCCTCTGAGGCAGACTTTGTATTTCTAAGAATGATTCTATTTCTCTTCATGCTCAGTCTGGTTTCTTGGAAACAGTGATGTGTGCTTTGGTGTTGGGTTTTATGAATCAGATTTGCTGTGTTTACTGTAAGCCTTCTAATAATCATCGCTCAGTTTTTAAAATAAGAGGAGGGAGTTTTGAACAGCTTGGGTTTCAACAGTAATTCCCAGTGTAAATACATGTAAACAAATTAATTTCTTTTTTTCACTCCCACTAAGGTGTACGACATCCAGGGAAACCTGCAGGATGGCAGTCAGGTGGTGGTGTCTGTTATATTTGAAAACAAGTGTGACAGCTTCCTCAAATCCATGGAGTTTAACGTCCTGGACTCTCTCAACTCCAAGCTGCAGAGACCAGAGGGGTCGGGTCCACATGATGGCCTCACCGTCCCCTTCCAACTTCCACCTGGTCAGTGATTATCTGCAAAAGTTGATTTTGAATACATGTAAACAACATACCCATTTTTAAATTCTGATTGACGGTGAACTTTACTCTTGTGCTTCAGGGGTTTCCAATGAGGCGCGATTTGTCTTCACTGTGCAGAGCATCGTGATGCCACAGAAACTGAAGGGAACCCTCACTTTCATAGTAAAGGTCAGTAGGAATACACACACATATATGAAAACAAACATAACTGTCATTTTATTTTAGTCTCTTTTAGTATCAAATTTGAATCCAGTCATAGCTTCAATAGTGTGTCATTACTCTTTATGTTCCACTTTTCATCGACAATTTATTTTCCTACTGCCCATCCTCAATATGTCAAACATAAATCGTACTGGTTGAATTTTGTGGAGTTAGATTTGTTAATGTAATTGTTTCCATTTTGTTGAATCCACTTATGTGTTAAAAACAGCAGAGTGACAAAGTAGCATTGAAGCTTGTTCAGCGAGACAAGGAATCCTTACCAGCTCCAGGGTTCATTTTGGTAACTAACCCTTCACCCAGATCTCTGCACAGGTCTGCAGGCCAAAAGAGAATCAGTGAAGTACCACTTTACTTTATGGATTATGTGTATTTGTTGTTGTGTTCACCACAGAATGAGGATTCCTCTACTCATGAGAAACTGGACTTCAAACTGCACTTTACCTGCACCTCCTACCTAATCACTACTCCTTGCTACAGGTCTGTGTATTAAGTTTCTGAAACACCTTTCATTCCACATTATAAAGGTGGAAAAACTTCTTACTGTTTTTAATATTCCTTTGGACAAATGTTTTTCCCTCTTGGGACCATGTAAGTTTTATGGCAATATGCCCATTAGAAATTGTTTTAGATAAAGGAGTGGGAGTATTGGCGGTTTGCCCAAAGGATGTTGTTAAAAAATAACTTGTGGAGTGTCCAAAAGGTAAATAGGTCATCATCCTCTGTGCAGCAGGAATAGGTTTAGTAAATTTCATGTCAATCTGCACATTAGATTTTTAGCATTCCTGTGTAAAATTAGAGATTCATGATTAATGATAATACTAGAGGAAAGAGTTAGAAAAATGTTGTCTAGGGACCATGAATATCTGCAATAAATTGAATAAACATTTGGCTATTAGTTTCTGAGTTGTTTTAGCTCTTTGTCATGTTTTTGGCCCAGGAGTTATTGGAAACTGAGTTTCTGTTGTTTTGTTTGGCCAGTGATGCGTTTGCAAAGCTGCTCGAGTCGGGCGACCTGAAGTGCAGCTCTGTCAGACTGGAGGGAGTCATCATGCCCTTCCACCACCTACTGGCCAGGATCTGCTTCCACCACCATTTCTCTGGTACATATACACACCCAGCCAATTACTATTTGTCTCAAGTCCTAAAACATCAAGTTACCAGATGGGTAGGGCGTTCCACTTACAGAATTCAATAATACAGTGTTTGTCAGGAATTTATGCCTATCATAGGAAAGTATTTGAATGTTAGTTTGTTTCTGTTTGGTAACTTTCAGTCTGCGCTGATTTAATAAGCCCCACTCATGTGGTAAACCATGTAGTGTACAAGAAAGGTTAATAATAATCAATAATTGTCATGTGACGCATTTGTTCAGAGTGTTGCTGATGCTTGTGTTCTTTTTGTCTCGTTGGATTAGTTGTGGAGAGGATCGACTCCTGTGCCTCCATGTACAGCAGGTCTATCCAGGGTCACCATGTTTGTCTGCTGGTCAAAACTGTGAGTTGAACCAATGAAACTCCTCCCTTATCTTGTATATTTTCATAAAAAATTGTTATTTGGACTTCAGATTGTGACCTTGATATTCTCTCTCTCTCTCTCTCTCTCTCTCTCTCTCTCTCTCTCTCTCTCTCTCTCTCTCTCTCTCTCTGTCTCTCTCTCTGTCTCTCTCTCCTTCCTTCCTCCCAGTCTGGTCAAACAGTGTCCATTGATGCTAAATGTGACGAGCCGACGCTGCTTGGGAATGTGCTGGATGAGATCAAGCAGACCTTCTCTCAGTGCTGATTGTGTCCGACAGTCCCAGGGTGCCCTCGACCCCTCCATGCCACCCCCCCTTCTCTCACTCGCTGAAACACAACATAATCATGTTACGAAAACACTGCGGCCGGCACTTCCAGTATCGCCCTATTTATTAGTCCTCAGATTCGCAAGATTTCTTTCCCCTTACCGTCTTCTTCTTCACACTCTGTCGTTCCTTCCGCACTCCGATCTCTGTGGTCACTCCCCAACACTTGATGTTGTTTTACAGACTCACTGTGTACATGCTCCGTCTTCTCTGCAGTGCGATTTAATTTTTACTTCCTGGTTTTCTAAGCCAAACTGCTCACCGTGTTCCTCCCTGACTCTGACTCTATACTGAGCTCCTGTTTCTGGATGCTCTGCACCCTCTACTCTCTCCTGTGTACCTCTTTGCCCTCCACTCTGTCGGCAATTCAGTTTGTGACAGTCATGTAATGTAATGTTGACAACTGGACTTTTGCTGTTGATGGTTGAATTGTGTTTTTACCGTGTTGAAGGTTTTTTTGTCTTTGGTTTGTTTTTGTTTGTTGTTTTGTCTCTTTTTTTTTTTTTTTGTCTGAAGCCTGTCTGCGCCTTTGTCTCTCCCCCTTCTTTCTGCTCACTAAACATCAATGTGCGTATTGCTCCTCTGTTGTAGGCCTGGAAAAAAACATTTGATTGACTGTTTCTCAGAATGGTCCGAGCTGGAAAAATAGGGACGCTAACCTCCTCACCCACCACTGACCTGGGCCTGGAGAAGACCAGACACTGAGCAACTGCAGTGGTAATAGTGCAGAGATGAAAACAAAGCTGCACATAAGGCATGGGTTTAAACTTCTTTGTTGGCCCTACTTGCCTTTTGGCCAGATCTGTTAGCGTAAGTTCAACAGAATCCTTGTGTGGCACTGCGGGCGATTTGTAGATCAGTGGTTATGCTCTGTGCCTTAGCCGTGCAGTCTGACCTACTCCAGTGTATCATGCTATATGTCTGCTCCCTCGTCAACTGTGCTAAGCTGCAGTTTGACACCCCCCCCCCCAAAGAACTTCCAACATATCATTCTTTTCACAAATCAAAGAATAATTCAAAGACAGGAGAGTATGAAAGTGATTAGATGGAACTCTGGCACTAGAGTTGAAGTGTACTCGGGACAGTTTGCTGTCAGGCACCTTTATCAGCGCCCTCTTCAACTCACAGATGGTTTGGTTAGTTGTATAGAAGATGTTATATTATTGTAATACACAGAAGGATACTATTATTTCTATGAAAACGCTATGGTGCTTAGGGCCCTTATGTGTCTCACCACATGGTGAAGTTAGTGACAGAATAATCTGACATTAAGAGAGCTGTTACATCGCTGTCCCTTTTTTCTGAAAAATCCAAAGTATGACTGGCTGAGGGATGACAAAGTTACACTATCAACCTGTCTTTATTCTTAAAAGCAGCTGCATATCAGGTTGCTGAAGTTGTTCTCTCTGTAAGCAGAGACTGTAAGTGGTTTTAGGTTCTCTTTCAATCAGTATTAGGCGACATGGCTTCCACTGTAAGGAAGCTTCCACTCTGTCAACAGCAGAATGCAGTTTTGTCTGTCTTCATGTGAAATCATGTGAAACCTTTTACGCCTGTGCCACTTTGACATTTGCATCACAGTAGCTGCACCCGAGCTGGGCGACACCCAGCTGGCGTGCACCCAGATAAACCCCAATGTTCCTTTCCCCTTCAGAAACTGCCTTGCCACTTTTTTTATTTTTGTTCATTGACATGTTATGATGAACACGAATGGCCATTTAAAAAAAGAAGAAAAGGAGAAAAAAAAAGGAATGGCCGCCTCTTAGAACTCTCTCAGAGGTACTTGATGTTTTAGTTTGTGTCATTCATGTCTTAAAGTCACTACCCGGTCCAACACGACTTAACCTAGTAGTAGCAAGATAAAAACCGACTCGGGTGCGTGTCTGATCATATTTCCTGGTAAGGCCCTCTTCGCATCTGTCTGCTATTGTAGATAACAACTATGATAATGATGTCTGTGACCTGAAGACCAGGTCAGCCATTCCATGAGATTCTGTGTCCATTAGTAGAGTCTGAATACAGAGGTGATCAGCTGTATTTCAGGAATGTCAATAGAAAATAAGTATGTATGTATTTCCTGGTCCTGAAAATGACTGATATAAGTGAAACTGAAAAAAACACCCTCCCCTAATCATACATTGTCCTAATTCTGATCTTTTTTTTTTTCCTGTGCATAATATTTCATTAAAATTTGTATATTGCATGATTAGGAATGTACACTTTTTATTTCCCTTAATTTTCTGTTCCATTGACCTGCTTACACAAACAAAAACTTGTCATTCCATTTTGTCCTTTTTCTTTATTGTTTTTTTTTTTTTTATGAGGTTTACTTGACCATTCTCTATTTTTGATGGTATTGTGTTTTTATCTATTCTAAGTTCAGACAATTAAAAAAAAAAAAAAAGAAGTGATATCTTTGAATGTTTTAAATTATTAAACACAAGAGGAAGGAAGGGGGTTCTATTTGGCATCATGATACTGAGGGCATGGTACTCCAAATGTTGAGTAGAACAGACCACGTGAAGCAGTGTACTGAGAGGCAACCCACTCTGTCTTAATTCTCTATTGGTTCAGTTGTAGTGAGTTATTTTACCAAGTTTGGCTTGTGACATTGAAATATACTCTCATATGACTCTGATTTCTGAAGGTTCTGTCTTTTTATTTCTCCATATTCAATTATCAAGCTGTACAATGTAAAATGTTTTAAAGGGGACAACATAAATTATCTACATTCCCTTTAAAGAAAGTCCACCCAAATTAAAAATAAAGGCTGTAAGAAGCTACTGTAGTCGTGTGTGTGTGTGTGTGTGTTACAGTGAAACAATAAACACCCACATTTAATATATTTTCTGTGTGTATGAGGAGACAACAGATGGATAACAGATTAATGTGTGTGGGATGCTCTTATATTTTTATTTTTTACACAAACTCAGAGATGTTTGATCTTCACAGCGAGATGTAGTGCTAGAACTTCAATTCCCAGAAAGCTTTGCACCACAAGTAATCGAGAGCTCTGTACTGACTGACAGCGAGCAGCTGAGTTGAGTAAAGTTAAACTGACAAAGCCCCAGGTTATGGTTTTTGCATTTTATGTAGAACTAGTTTGTCTGAACGCAAAGGTCGTCCAGTCGACCTCCTTTTTCTTGTGGGGAAAGCGGTACACCCGTCTGAAAGAGAGGACTGGCTAGCTTTCGTTAGCATCACTGTCAAGTTAACTAACCTGGAGACGTTTCCGTGTTAACTTTCAAAATAAAATCCCCCTCTCAAAGTGTTATTCTTCAAAGGTTACGTGAAATGTCCGTTAAGCTTTGTAAAATACGAAAGAGCAGACGTTAAGAGCAGCTTTATCGTATATTTTGACAATTAAATGTATGTTTTGCTACGGGATGGCGTTCAGATCTTACGCTAAAAACCACTAAAGCCAACGGAAACAAAATTGACCAAAAAAGAAAAACGTACCTCAATAATATACGTTACTATTTTTATTTTTATTTGAAAAGCAAAAATATAAACAAATACACGTATAAATAGCGAGCTGTTGGATATGCAACCAAAAAAAAAAAAAACGTTAAGTTAAATAAAGCAAAAATAAAAAAATAAATAGGGCACTATTTCGAAAGCTGTAACCGGAAGTGGAGCAGATAAAGTGCTTGTCTTGACTAACAGTAGGTTCAGATGGTCGTTAATACCTGGGGCTCCCCGGGATTGTTCACAACAACAGAGGAAGCAGCACCAGCTCTGACCAAATAAAGCCCCGTCGCGATTTTTTTTTTTTAGATCCTGTTTTGGAACCATTACTAACGGAAACTAACGTTAACGCGTTCCTGTGCGAGCAGGGCTCCGTTCTTCCACTGATAGCCATTGTTTGTACCGAGCTACGTTAGCTTTGTCCTTTCCTCGCAGTCACAGCTGTGGTGGGTTGGTTGCTGATATATATTTATATATCAAAAATCGTTGTGGAATATGGCTCAGCATGGACATCATGTAGCCAGTTCCCAAAAAGCACTAATGCTGGAGATGAAAAGTCTCCAAGATGAGCCAGTCGAGGGGTTCAAAATAACTTTGGTGGACGAGTCGGACATGTACAACTGGGAAGTAGCGATATTCGGACCCCCAAACACACACTACGAGGGTGGTTATTTTAAGGTGAGTAGCTAATGTTAGCTAGCAGTCGATCTATTGTTCTTTAGCTGGTAGATTTAACCCACATTTATGTAATTTATTCTTAGAGGACAGCACAGCGGTTAACCTTAGCCACCGAGTGAGCGGCAGGTAACAGTTAATAACGTTAACTTGTGTTAACGTTAATTAAATTGGCAGTTGTTCCCCAGTTCAACGTTACTGGGATATATAACGTTATATATATTTATAAATATAAATAAATATATATATATATAAAGCTTATTTTGTTCAACTTTAGCTCCATTCATTCAGGGGTTTATTAAATGTTTCTGTTACCAGCTCCTCGACAGCAAAACTTTTCTTTTCTCCATGTGGCTGAAACAGAGATTAATTGAGGTCCTTTATGGTGGCAGTCAGCACACGATCACGTTTGACAGTTTTACTTTAGTGTTGAAACAAAAGGTTGTTAGTATGACCGCCTCAAGCTTTAACAGTACTGTGATTAGTCAAACTCATTATCCAACTGATTCAATCATTTCCTTTTGCTCTCCGTCTTTTTTTTTTTTTTTTTTTTTGGTTTATCATTATAAATCATCAGCCCTGGGTTGCTAACCTTGCTTTTGAAAATGTAGACAGCCACAATCTTAGCTTGTATCACGTAATTTGTTTTTCCAGCATACTTCCTCCCATGAGAGTGAAGATGTGTTGGTTTCACATCTGTGTTGTTCCTGTTTTTTTTTTAAGTATATCTGTCATTGACAAAGAGGGTCGACTGAGCCTCCACTGTGTTATTAACTACTGAATTATCTTGGTGTAGACAAACCTTCTCTTGCACTTATTGTTTAATTGTAAGTTGTTGTTTTTTAGAGGAACAGGAATGTCAGCCCTACCTTTATTTTCATGGCTGTGACCCTTGACTTGTTAATTACTGGTTGTTGGTACTTTTGGCCTAAAGGTTGGAGCTACAGTACTGGATTTTAGACTCACTTCAAGCTACACACATTACATTGTAAACGGGGCACACAGTTAACACCTTTTACCAGCCAAATGTTGGTAAGATATACAAGTGGTTTGCTTTACTCAGCAGCCAAAAAACAATGGCAATCTATTGAGTGGAAATGAGTAGAATTTGACTACAATGAGGTACATTTCGCACAATGATTGTAAATCTAGAATAGCATTGCCATAGCAGAGAGAGCCCCACTGTTGTCTTATAACTAAATGTGTGTGTGAAAATAAACTTCACATATTGCAAAACACCGGAGGGATTGTTGCGCACCCAGTTTACTTTAGTGTCTGGTAAATAAAACCCTGTTAGTGCTGCTTCAGACTTGCCCTAGATAGTTATTTTATTGGACATCAAACAAAAAATAATTAGCTTTTATTGAGGTGGTATAATAGTCCTGTCTGTCTGAGGAAAAAAAATAATATAGGTCAGGCCCCTGAAAGAACATTTGTCTTAGAGTGGCAAACAAAAACAACTTACAAATTGTACACGGTCTCTCTACAAGGGCTTTTTGTCATGGGCTCATAATAGTCCCACATTAGCCATAGTTGTTCCCATATCACAACTAAACCATAAAGTATTAATGGAGGCTCCCACCATGTTCAGATATTGCAACCGCTCTCTGTTTGTTAACTACCACTTCAACCGTACAGCGTTTTGTGATTCCAGTTCTTGAGAAGCTTGTTCATTTTGGCCTCTGTACTTTTCTCCGAACACAAGCAAGAGGGGCCCCGGCCAGGCCACCGTAGACGGCGTTCAGAGTATCTGTGTGGGTGCTGTGTACAGGATTCCTTTGTCGGGCCAGGAATGCACAGCCTGGCTGTGAAATCCACCGCATGGTTGTGAGTCATTGTTCTGTGCTGGGTTTCCATCCAACCCGTTTGCCATATTCTGACAAAAAAAACAAAAAAAATCCCACCCTGTTCTGTTCTGACCAGGTTACCCAAACAGCCAAGCAGTTATGACATGCTGCAGCTGCCTGTTCATCCGAAACAGGGCAGATAATGACGTCACATGAAACCTGGCTGAGTCAGGTATTTGTTTCACATGGGTGTTCCTCCCAGAGAGTCACACGATGACAAATACATTATAACTGCAGGCACACTGGACCGAGACTTATTATAATGTCATTCAGACTACATTAGAGATCTGTCCTGGATCCACAATACATAAGTAAACACTGTCTCTTATCATAACAAATTCACCATTGACCCGTAGGACTAACAATAGGCCCTGATGCTGACATTCATTCATTGGTTTGATCGGTTCGGAGACATTTTCATGCTTACAGTCCTTTGTGCTGTATGCCTTCCGCTTTGTCATGTGAAGTATCCCTCCAGGGTCTGAGTGTCTGATGATTACTGGCAGAGGGCCAGTCAGTCCTATAGCCAGCGGTGGTCCTGGGACGTGTATGAAGCAGAGTAACTGGGTTGCCTACCCTCAGAGTACAGACTTACAGGGATGTTTGGACAGTGACTTACTGTGTGTGTCTGTACAGTGACTGAGGTTTAAACTGTCTACTTTATTAAGTCAGATACAATTTAATCTGAGACTTAAGTATTTAAAAATGTCTATTTATTTCAATTGTGCGACTGCACAATTGAAATAAATAGACTGCCAAGTTTATGATTCACTCCAACTGTATGTTGATCGTGTCCATATAATCATGACCAAAACATACAATTTGTGCTAGTCATTTTCTGTCTGGGTGTATTTTCTAGTAGATGTGGCCCATGGCTGTTGATTTTCTCCGCTCTTTATCCTTTCTCTTTAACATCTCTGTCATCTCTCCTTTGAGTTTCTTGACCCTGAGCAACTCTTACAAAAATCAGGAAGTGACCCTTCAGTGTTTTTGTGACATCATTTGATTGAATCCCAGTATTCAGCAAAATTATGCAAAGCACAGTCCCTATGCTACCACGATTGTTTATTTAGATGTTTGGGTCTCCTCAAAAAATTCTTATTTGCTGAGGAGCTACTTGTTTTTGTTTCCAATCTCAGAATCTGTGAGTTTTATCTGATATTTGCAATATATCTGCAGTGAAATATCAAAATTAAAAATCTAGGGACTCACTTTTCCTCTTTTTCTGCTTATACCGACCTAATCCATGACTGTTATTTTGATCCAATGAACTCCCTCTTCAACAAGCCGAAAGTAATTACTGTACTTTCAAGGGGGCCCCTAACAGGCTTAGCCAATAGGCTTTTACCTTACATGGCATCAAGTACAGTATATATGAAGCTCTCATTTAGTTTAGCTCTTTATTGTGTCAAGTATTAGTTTAATATCTATACATGGTAAAAAAAAAAAAAGCAATTCTATTTTAAATTAGGTTATTCAGCCTTCAGTTCAACTCTGTTTCTTAGATCTCAATATTTCTTTAAATTTGTTTTCATAAATGTTACCATCTGTATGGTGGAGTAACATAAAACACAAAACCCACCACATTATCTTGCTTCGTGCTGGCCATGTCGATCGGCTTATTGGGTTAATAAAACAAGGACGGCCACGAAGACTTAAAACCGCTCCATGAACTCCACTTGAGAACTATGACATTGCTTTTTTTTCCGTGGCATCAGCGACTGTCAGTTCACATTTGGCCGATATGACCTCTTCCTGCTCCGTTGCGTGTCACAGCAAAAAAAGGTACTCTAGATCCACAACTATGAGGTCATCTGGTTGTGTTTCACAGCAACGCTAGTCACGGTGATGTATAACAGAAACTATGCTGTGTTCGTAGTGACAGAGCTGCACAGCTGGGGACGAGGATCTGGGCTCTGTGGGAGAAAAAAGAATAGCTGGGTGACTGTGTTTGAAGTGCTGCTGTGTCAGCACCTGGCAGCTGTAATTGTCATCTCTGTATTGCATGTAATTATGATATGAACAGGGTCTTCGCAACACAAAAATATACTGTGAACATCTTTTCATATAGTAAAGTGGTTTTATTGAGTGACTTCCTAAACACTGCCAGACAACTTCTTCATAGCAAACATGAAAAAGATGGGTGTTGCCCTTTGGTTTTGGCCCAGGCCTGTCTGTCAACTGTGTGTCTGAAGCTAAAAGAGACAGACACCCAGTTCTGTCGAGCAGTTGCCTCTGTGTTTGTGCCTTCCTTCCTCCTCGGGGTGCACGCTGCATAGTTTGTACCGGCTCCATTTTAGCCTTGCAGTAGCAGCGGAGGGGAGGGTACAGGCAAGAGGACTCAATCCGGCTGCAGAGGGCTCGGCTGGGCCGAGACCGGCTGAGCTGCCGGAGTCATGTTTCCACCCCTCTGGCTGTGTCAAAGAGAAACGATAGCAGGGGAGAGGGGGAGAAAAAAAAAAGAGGGAATACAGAAACAGCCAGATCAAGAGCAGGCAGAGCCCTTCCTTGCAGTGGTGCCCCTTTGAAAGGAGAGCCTGCTGTTAATGGAGGTGAGTGTGAGGCCCCAGTAGACAGTTATAACCGTCCCCTGAAGCCCTGGCCATGTGTTCTTTTTCCTCTTCCTGTGTCGGCCACCAGTGCGGTAATCATTCCTCTAAAACTTTGTGCTGTACTCGGCTGTTTGATTGAAATTTTGTGTCAGGCTTGTAACATAACTTCAGCTTTTGATCCTTTTCCTTCTCTTCAACACCTCCCCCCCCACCCCCGAGTTCAGTTAATGAGGCAGGGGCCTGTTGGGTATGAACATGATAATCTCTGGGACGTGTGTGTGTGTGTGTGTGTGTGTGTGTGTGTGTGTGTGTGTGTGTGTGTGTGTGTGTGTGTGTGTGTGTGTGTGTGTGTGTGTGTGTGTGTGTGTGTGTGTGTGTGTGTGTGTGTGTGTGTGTGTGTGATTTGCTCTACTCAAGGACCCCTTTCCTTGTCATTCAGTGTGAGTGTGGGGTGGGTGTAGGATGTGGGTGAGGATAAAGTCTGTAGAGAAGTGAAAGAGGTGTACAGGGAGAACAGAATGATTTGTTCTGTTCAGGGTCTTTGCATTGACCTGGTTTACTTTGCCTTGCTGTCATTTTCCAGGGGGCGGGCGTGTTCACTCTCATTCCTGCTCTCTCTTCAAGGCAGTCTTTTTAGCTCACAACCCAAGAAAAATGTTCATAGAAAGAAGATATTGACCTTGCGCTCTGTATTCGTGGTAACAAGCCCTTCGCGGGTCCTTTTTTTTGCTTCCGTAGCAGGAAATTGGCGGCACTATATGTCCACCACTCAAATGAGCTGTTCAGACTGGTTCACCTTTTGACCGCGGATGCTGTTAATTCTGCGTTCAATCAAATTATGAGGCATGACATGCAAGTCAGCGGTGGCTGTGGTGGCCAGTGATCTTGTTTGAGCTGCTGTGTTTTGAAGCTAAAACTCCTTCCCAGTAGTGGAGGCAGAGTGAGAGTTATCTGTCCTTTTTTTTTTTTTTTTATACATGTGAATGATCCCAGGAGTCTTAAAAGAGAAAGCTGATATTGGCCTTCTAAGATGCCGCCGCCTGGTTCTCTTTCTTCTCTCTCCTCCTTGTGTTTCTCCTCTTCAGTCTGCTCGCTGCTGGGGAGATAGAAGACGAGCTGCTCGCTGCTGCAGAGAAAATTAACTAACCGAGCAGCCTGTCTGTGTTCAGGCCCGGCTCCGTCACACTTCTCTACCCCCTCCATCCATCCATCCACCCCTCCCTCCTCTCCCTCCATCCCTCTCTCCACCTGGGTGGGCAGGTCAAGAGTTTCAGTCTTTCCCTCTGCTGCCAGGGTGACCTGCCATCCTGAAGTCAGTGGGATTTTAACACCACATACTGGTGGCTATTTGGGCTCCATACTGGTGTTTTTTTTTAAGTCTCAACTACAGCTTGTTAACCCACTCACTGCCTGGGTGGACCTTCAGGGCAAATTGCCCTGCATCTGATTCTAGTGGTTTTAAATCTATAATATAGTAAATCTATAGTTGCTGCTGCTAAAACCACAACCAATATGAATTTTTTTTCCCCTTCTTCTCTTGCCTCCTGGCTTTTACAATTTTAATTTTGATAGTCTCATGGAGCTCTAAATGGTATGTGTGCATTTGCTTGTGTTTGCATACAGTTGGTGGCATTGTGTTACAAGAAATACGGTTTTAAAAGCCTCCCGGTAAGCTGCATTGTGAAATCATGCTCTTACCTTCTTACAGGGATCAATGCTCACGCTTATCCTTAATGCATATCCCCACCTTCCTGCTTTACTTGTGGCTTGCATTCAGACTCACAGGATTGTGATGAATGAAGCTATTTTATTAGTGTTGATGCATAGGTCTCCCAGCAACGGGCTACAAAGTGAGATATTGGATGATTATTTTATTCAAATATGTATGGGTATAAAGCTTGTGTATCACCACAAAGTTGGGTTGCTCTGGTTTGTTAGCTATCTTATGTGTGTTTTCATTTTTCTTCTTTCCACAATATTCTAAAAAGTAGAATGATTAAACTGGATGGACAGACAGTTATTTTCCTCAAGGAACTAGATTTTTGGTTGTGTTTGCCAGTGAAGTAAAGATGTCGTGGGCTCTCAGAACTCTGAAGACCTTTTCATACATACTGTTTTGTTGGAAAATCAAACCTGGAAGATAAACTTTGCCCGCTGTAAGTGTTCTCATGGCTTTACGTTCAGCTGAATGGCCTCTAGTTCTCTTTTACACCACTTCCACCCCCTTTTGAATTGGACTAAATGTTACTCTGAAAGTAATACTGAATGGCCGCTGATAAGAGCTAGAGTGGTTTATTTAAAGCATCCTCACTGGCAGACGCTGTAGCTGTTTTTTCCAGATGAAATGTCTTATTGGGGTCAACAGAAAAGATTTTCTTTGCCTAGTTCTCAGCCAGTGGACAGATATGATCTTGATGCTTACATTGTTTTGGAAGACAAACCAAGCTCTCACTGTTGTTGCCCCCATCTTCCTCCTCCTCCCTCTCTCCCTCCCCCTGGCTGACTGCTATGTGTTGCACTGTTGCCAGCCTGTAATGTGTACAATGTTGGCCTGAACCCTGCACTCTGAAGGACCGCCAGCTTTCTGGCAGGGTCAGTCAGACCCTGGGATTTTGTTTTTTTCCTACAAGCGTCATTCTCTCAGGACTGTGTCAGTGTTTCCTCTCCAGTCTGTTTTTTTTTATGGCGAGAGCGAGTTTATTATACAACACGGCAGGTAAAACACATGTTGCACATGTGATGTAGTTCAGGACATATCTCATTTAGTGTTCTGGTCTGAGTGTTGATATGTTTGTGCTGCATACCGCCTGGTTTAAATGCTACATTGCGGGCAAAGTGGGATTTGACCTTAATGGTGAGCAGTAGTATTATACTGAGCACAGCCCCCTTCATTCTAAGTGAAATCCCCCATTCCTCCTCCCACTACCACTCCACCATCTCCCTGCTCCCTTGCAGCCGATCCCCCTGCCTCCCGCTCATCGGTTCACTGTGGTGAGGACCAGCTGACCATGCCGAATGAGAGAGAGAGAGACTGTGTGTGTGTCTGTGTGTGTGTCTGTGTGTGTGTGTGTCTGTGTGTGTGTCTGTGTGTGTGTGTGTCTGTGTGTGATGGGGGGGGGAAGATCAGCAGAAGGTTTCATGCTGTGAGTGACGTGCATGTGTGTAATCGGTGTAGTCGGTGTCCCCCTCCTGTCTCTCCCATGGCACGCCTTATGGAACGAGAGGAGGGGTCCTCTATACATAGTAGGATTTATACAGTGTGTGTGGGTGTGGTTTCAGTGTGTGGACATATAATAGCCAAACGCGGGTGTGAGTAGTGGATTGTCTTGGGTTGCAGTGGCAGCTGGAGAGGACAAACCCCCACAATGTCTTTATGCCACCAACTCCCCTCACCCACCGGTGTTACTCTAAGCTCCACACACTCGGCAGCTGAATCCACTGCAAGCTTCCCCACCCCCCAACCCCTCCCTCCACATCATATTACATTACACTGTCATTCGCTCCCCACGCTCATCCACCTCCGTAGGGTTTGCCATGACTCTACAGCTACTATTTATAGGTTTTCTTTCAATCAATGTTGAAGCTAATTAGCGTGATTGTGGAGATTTTCATCCAGCAACTTCAGCGCTTGTTGACACCAGTGCTGCAAACATTCACCATTCAGAGTATGTGTGTGTGTGTGTGTGTGTCGCTGCATTGTACAGACTCAAATTCTTGATTCAGTTATTCCTGGTGTGTATGTGTGGGGTAGATTTTCTATAAGCAAACTACACTACAGTTACATGCAGCAACCTAACTATGGCTAAAGCAATCACCCTTTACTTTTAGACCTAATCGATGGAGAGGATTCTCCCAAACAGTAAAAGTTTGAAGGGAAGTAGTCACAACTTGTCTGTTGGCAAGGGAGAAGTGTCAATAAGCTGCCTGCCTCTCGCATTACTAATCTGTGTCTTCTCTTGCCCTCAGGCTCGGATCAAGTTCCCAGTCGACTACCCGTACTCTCCACCTGCTTTCCGCTTCCTCACCAAAATGTGGCACCCCAACATTTATGAGGTAACTCGACCCGTTCCAAACATACAGTAGCTCCTATAAGTTGGGTATATATGAGTAAGATAGTGATTTAACTATAATTTAACTGTAACTAATTGGTAATCAATAAAATATAGTTTGAACATCTTTTGTGTGACACTCTTGTGTCCCTAGAACGGAGACGTATGCATCTCTATCCTGCACCCACCAGTGGACGACCCACAGAGCGGGGAGTTGCCCTCAGAGAGGTGGAACCCCACACAGAACGTCAGGTACCCGACATAATGTTCTCAGTTCCATCCAAGGTTATTGTTCTAAGGAACTCCAAAAGTATAAGCAGGGTTACTGTTTTCTGCTTTTTAGATTTGATTATTTTAATCAGCCGTCAAACAAGCTGAAATGAAATGTTTCAGATGCATTTGTGGTTGAGTCTGTGCAGGTATCACTCTTCATCAGTGCTCATTTCCAGCTTTCTACTGTCCACATTCCCCCCCTCCATTAATACAGGCTAAAGGCTAAACATAACATGCAAGTGTTTATGCAGCTTATACCCCATTTCTTACAAATGGCTGGAAATTTGCCATTTGCCAAACCTTACCATAAATTTCTAGATTGATTTCCTTCCTACTTAGATCGATTGATTTGTTTCTGCCATCTCATTATCTTTGCTGCGGTACGACAGTCAACATGCAAAGACTGTAAGCTCTCTGTTTCCTTCCTTTCTGGTTGGACAGAGTTATCACTGTGTATTCATATATCTGAAAGTGTCAGCGGTTATAAATGTGTAGAGTGACTTGATTGACTACAGACATCAACAGTGAAATCAAAGCTTTTAAAGAGAAACAAACCTCCAGATCATTGCTTTTTAAAAATCACTGATGTGATGGTTATAATTGACAAACCTGACAAACACGCTAAAGGTCAAATCCCAAGTTTTTACCCCATTTGTTTATCCGTCTCCGTTTATAAAGTATCTAGGAGCAGCAACGCTAATATTGTCTCTCCTGTTCACGCGCAGCTGTTTGAGTTCTGCTCTCAACTACCAACCAACTTACTGCTGCATAAATGAAGTAAACATCCAAACATTATGTATAATTCATACCCCCTTTTTTCATACAATTACATGACACAGATTTATCTATTCAATCCTGCTGCTTTCCCATTCTCCTTCTCTGCTTAACTTTTTCTTTTATGCATTGTGTGTACAGCCACAAACTCTCACAGCTGCTTATAACCGTGCCCACAGTAATTGGCTCCTTTGAGCTGATGATCACAACAACACAAACAGTCACACATTCTGTCTCAAGGAAAGAGGAGATCACAAGTGTGAATGTTTTTATTCAGTCTAACTAGTTGATTGACCTCCAGTCAAAATATAAGTATAATATAAGTATAAATAACACCATTGTCTATTAGTATCTCGTGTAGCTGAGAGGTAAAATCAACAGATGACAGCGGAGACAAATGGATGTTCTTGGGTTGAGCAGGCTGGCTGTCTGATGCTAACCTTCATCTTTTACCCTCCCCCTCTTTCTCTCTTTGTGTCCTCCTTTCTTTCTTTTCTTTGTTCTGCACTCTCAATGTCTCTTGTCTCGTCTTACCTCCATCTTCCCTTCCCCACCCCGCGTTCCTGTTTCCCTGTCCTTCTCCTGTATTGCTTTCCTGTATTTTAATCTCCCTCCACTCCCGTTGACGTCTCTCTTCTCTCTCTCTCAGGACCATCCTGCTCAGCGTGATCTCTCTGCTGAATGAGCCCAACACCTTCTCCCCGGCCAACGTGGACGCATCCGTCATGTACCGCAAGTGGAGGGACAGCAAGGGCAAGGACAGAGAATACATCGAGATCATCAGGTACACACAGAGCACAGAGCACACAGAGCACTTTTCACACTTCCAGTGGGAGTTTGTCAGTGTAGCTGGTACACCGAGTACCAGCACTGACGCTCTGCATGGCCTCATCCTACTTTCCTCTTATCTTCAACTCTTTCCCACCCCACAGGAAGCAGGTGCTGGCTACCAAAGCTGACGCAGAGCGGGACGGCGTCAAGGTTCCCGTCACCTTGGACGAGTACTGCGTCCGCACCCAAGTCCCACCCACAGATGACGGCTCCAACCTCTTATACGATGACTACTACGACGACGAGGAACTGGAGGACGACGACGAGGACGACAACGAGGACTGTTGCTATGACGACGATGACTCGGGCACCGAGGACTCCTGACCTCGTCTCCCCCGTGATGTCACCTGCCCCTGACCAGACCCTGCCCTCACCAGCCCCCCCCGCCGCCCCTCACACTTCCCTCTCTCGTCATGGACTGAACTTTAATTCCTTAATTCTTCCCGAATCCCGCCAACCCCTCATCATCCTCACTTAGCACAGGCCTCCCTGTTCACCTTCTGTCACATGTGCAGTCACAGTATGCACACTAAAACCTGATGCATCGAAGAAGAGAAAGCTACAGAGTTGTTGTTTTTGTTTATTTCTTACATGTTTCTTTTTATTTTTTACTTTGTTGTCTGAGTAGAGGTTGCACACATGATGCGCACACACACAGCAGCACAACTTACAGTAATAGTACCGAGAACCGGTTTAAATTTTCTTAAAAGCGTTTTAGCTCCAAGACCTACTTCTTGGTTAAGGGATGGTCATGCCTTTTTCTCAATCATCAGCAGGGTGGAATGTAACGTCACAGGTCAGATCCGAGTAAAACAAGCGCAGAGCTTTAGCAAAGGAAGTTCATTCAGGAAAATAGGCATATGTGTGTTTTTGAAAAAGCTGAGTCACTTCCGTCTCTGAGCCATGTTTGTGTGTGTGTTTGTGTGTGTGTTTGTGTGTGTGTGTGTGTGTGTGTGTGTGAGACCTCTGGGTTAGCAGGCAGTTAGAAGCCCTGCCACGCTTCACCTTTGACCTTTTTTGAGCCCCAGGGCTTGTGCTGCTCCAAACAGGGAAGTTATCCATTTCAAAAAAGCCGCTCACACTCCCTCGTGCCTTCCCTCACTCCCCTGGTATCACAGATCTGAAACGACCTGTGGGACAGACCGTAGATACACAGCGGGTCAAAGCAAACTCCTCTACCAGCCAGACAAAAACAAAGGTGGCTGAGGGGAGATATTCAGGCCCACAAGGTCCCAGGTGGGGGGGAGTTACCGTGCAAATAGCGCCCCTTCCTGATGGAACAAGTTTCAACCTATTTATAGCAGCACCTGTCAGATTTGTCCGGGGTGTTAGTGAGAAAGGTAAGATCCAACAGCTGAACTAAAGAATGGAATGTAGATCAGAATCCCACAGACGTCCTCTACAGACTGCCACGCAGCCTTCATCACACAAGCACGTGCTACTAGTGACCTGGATGCATTAAGAAACAGCCAGCCGAGCCTGCTGCTGCTCATGAAATCCAATGTACTGTATATAAAAAAAAACGACAAAAAAACCAACCTATGCAGTCAATGCTTGAAACCTACTTAATATGCAGTGCTTTAGACGTGGCAGTAAGGCTGAACCTTTTCAACAGTCTTGACCCGAACTTGAGTTTGACAAGCCAGATATGTACCTGTGAGGGATTTGGACTGACTGTGTCCTCGGTCAGAGATGGACAATGTGTAGTTGTATCCGTCTTTATCTTTGTTGATGGTTGGTTTGTTCTAACTCAAAGAGTAGTCTCTAGAGCAGAAGAAACAAGGAGTGAGAGTGTGCACTGGCCTCCACCAGAGCTTGCCCCCTTGTGGTGGCTGTGTGTTACAGGCAGTTTTTTTTTTTTTTCCCCCCTCTTCTGAAATGCTCGACTGGGCCGCAGCCATCTTGACTCACCTGAATCAATGAACCCTGTTACCTCGGAGGAGCTGAGGCAGCAGTGTGAGCGATTCAGAAGAATGAAAGTGGCCTGATGAACACGCAGACTGACGGGGGGGTTGGTCCTCAGTCTGCACTGTCAACAGGCCCTGTGGTTCCTCCTCACTGCCAGGAGTGCTCCGTTGCACAATCAAGACACATTACCAACATCCAGCAGTATTTCAGATGATTTTCAACGCTGCTGTAACCATGTTTCCGTTAATATCCGCCGATCGGTTTATAAGATGTGCTGAGAAGTGTGGAGAAAAAGTGCAGAATTAGGGAAGGCATGGGGAGATAGGGTTGACCTTTGAGCATGAACAGGAGAATGTGGTTCTTCACTAGCATGCTGTTATGATGTGTTTGTGGTTTTAGATCTGCTATAAGGGGTCGGGATTGTGTCCAGGGACAAAGGTCCTCTACTCAATTTTATCTAAAACTGTTGCATTGTGAATGGGCTGAGGGTTGTCTGTTTTTTTTTTTTTTTTGAGGGGGAGGGCTTCTTTTACTGTTTTGATGTAATCTTTTATTTCCAAATTGTGGTGTGAGCTGCAATGTTTTCTATCTTATACGTATAAGTGCTACGATTATCGACCTGATTGTTAAAAACCCAGGATTGTTCATGCAAGAATGAATACATTTACCAACTTATTGTACACAAAATATCAAACGGCAGAAAAGTTCTGCAGAACCAAATTGACACAGCACTCCACACAGTAATTATTCTAGCCTTCAATCAAGCCCCGAATGCTCAGAAATGAGCCATCAATAATTGATAATTGCCCGATGTCCATTACACAGCCTATTAATGATCCTCTCCCCTCTGTTTGGATGTTTTAGGGTGAATGGGATTTCATTTTTGTCAAACTACTGTTGTTTTTTTATCGTCTTCTCCTCCCCACTTGTCCCCCAGTTCTCTGAGCTCTGATTGGTGGCAGCATCACTGAGGGGAAAAAAACCCAGCAATTAATTACAGAAAAACTACAAGAACCTCAGGAAAATAAATAAAAGAAAACGACTACCAACCAACAAACAAACATCCTTTTCCAACAGAGTGAACCTGACCCTGGGGAGTCTCACTTTTTGGCTTCAAAGGACTGTTTACAATCTCTACCTTGATATGCACATGTGGATATTTGACGATCACTTGATGTTTTTTTTTTTTTTTTTTTTCTTGTTTATATTTTCTTTTTTTTCTTATGGTTTGTAAATCTATTTAAAATCTGAAATAAAGATCTTTATTAGATATTGATTTGGTTTTTTTTATTGGAATTTGGGATAAATGGTTTGATCATTTTAATGATCTCATTGGTTTCTCTCTCTTCTGTGTTCTCTTATAGACACTGAAATGGCGAGTGAATGAAATTTGAATGAAACTCAGGGCTAGCTCTGAGAGGTAAGACTCTTGTCCTTCCTTTTTCACTTCCATTTAATGGTTGTTGGGTTTTTTTAAACCTTTTAGTGGAGCTACAGTGTGAGGAAAGTGCATGATGAGATGTGTACCCAGTAGTCACCCTCTTAGACTCAGAGGGTGGTGGAGACTTTAAAGGATTTCCTGATGCTTTCCATGCTTTTATCCATTACAAGTGGGAATTTAGGATTACTTTTCTGAATGTTTCTTGTCTTCTGTTCTCCTCTCCACTCTAGGAAATGTTAAGTCTTGGACGGTAAGACATTTATGTATGTTCTCTTGAGGTCTCTCCATTCCTCCTTGCTGAACTCGTTATTTCAGCTCTGCGTTTCATGAGATAAAATCATCTCTGTGTCTTTTTTTTTTTTTTTTTGACATGTAGTGAAATAGATCAGGACTGCTCAAACGTACTAAAGAGCAAAACTCACACACATTCATGCATAGAGGATCTAGAGCTATGTGGAGTTTTGCCTTTATTGGTTACATGGCTCAGGAGTTCAGACTGGTATTATATCCTTAATTAAATTAAAACTCCACATAACTCTGTTCCTCTACATGTGAGGGCCTCAAGTTTGCTCTTTTGTACATGTTTGCATCCCATGAAATACCCATCGATCACACCATTGTCTTATAAGCCATGCTAGTGGGGTAGCTCTATGGATGGCAGAGTCGGGTCTGTTCACCACGTTTGTCCAGACTGAATTATCTCAACAACTAATGGATCTAATGCTACCTGCTGATCGCCATGTGGTTTTAGGTGAAATGTCTCAACAACTATTGGATGGATTACCATGAAATCTGATACAGAAACTTCCAGTTCCCCTCAGGATGAATCATGACAGCTCTGACTTCTGATTTCGTGCTGTCAACAATATAGTTTGTCCAACACTTTCACGACCAAATACCAAACAATGTAATATTGTAATGTAATATTCCCATCAGCCTCAGCTGTACTTGGTGTTTAGAGATAATTAGCAAATGTTAGCGATCTAACATACTAAAATAAGATGTTTGGCAATGGGAGCATATTATCATTTAGTTACAGCCTCAGAGCTGCTAGCACGGCTGTAGACTCTTAGTCTTTTTAGAATAAGAATGATGCTTTAATGCACTCAATGACACGAGATGACACAAATCAGATCACCAGTATGGGCTGAAATATGGAAACTTAAAAGCCTCACAACAATTGTTAAAAGCCTGTGCTCTGATACTGTTTACATACTGTAGGGGACAGGTTTGTCTTTTTATGTCATACTGACTACTAACCGGTTTATTGCATTATGGTTTTCATTGACAAATACTGAAACAGAATATTTCTGTGTTTAAGTGGGATAGTAACACAGGAGTGTCATTAGCAACTGGAGTAACCCGACGACTCCAGTAACTATGTTTTTATTGACTGATCACATTGTGGGCCGAAGAGATATTGCAAGTAACATTATTACAGCAGTTATCTAAAAGCAGATCTAATGAGCCCCGAACAGTTTAACGATATAATAAACAAACAAATCATACAAGTGAGGAAACTTCAGAACATCTCATCATCTAGCATCTGAGGCTGCAGATGATTTCCCACGCTTCTTATATCTTTCCTAATTGCATCATACTGTGTCTGCTTGGCTTCAAATATAACACTTTCAATTGGCTGTTAGATTATTAAATAGATCCTTTCAACCTTATGGGCCTTCAACTCTCCTCGTATTTTCCTGTGCCTTTGAAATTTGACACATCCTCTGATTAAAAACCTGTGAGATGCTGAATGAATTCTCTCATCAGCATTCAGAAAGGGATGTTTTGTTTCACTTGCTTTTAGTTTTATTGGACAACGCAGCTATTTTCAAGAAAATAATAAAGGTTCCTGTTGCTGTATCTTTTCTTTCAGGTGCTTTTAAGAGTCAGTGTGATGCAAGAAAACTGAGGTAAGACTGTGTTTGTTCTTAGTTGAGTAACCACACAAACACCACTAACCTTTTTCTTAATGGAGACTAAATGAGCTCATATTATTAACTGCTTCCAGGGGATTGCACGTGTGTATGTTTTACCTCGGCTCTAATAGATAAAATCACTTATGTTATTGTGAAATACAGTTTGGTTTGGTGTGTTCAGACTGTGTGAGGAGTGATGATGATTAGATCTGTACCCTGCAGTCGCCCTTGTGATCTGGGTGGTGGAGATGCTGAACATACAAACTATGTGCTTTTATCATTTTCCTGACTGCTTTGTACCTCTAGGGGGCAGCAACAGCTCGTTTCTTGTTACATTTGAGCAGCTAGTCTAAAAGCCTCAGTGACCACAAAGATAATAGATTTAAGAGGTCAAAACGTGAGACGGATTTATAGTAAATTATTTTTCAATATTATCAATCAATAAAAATGTGTATTTTTCTTTTTTTTTCTCAGCTCAAACTTCTGTGATTCTTCAATCAGCGCCACAAGCTGTAGCCACAATTCTTTCCTGCCTGTGTTCTCCAGTCGGGGGCGCTGCCATTCTCCTTAAGAATACAGACACAGACAGTAATATGGGCCATATATTTCACCCTCTTATATCAATGTGCCAAAGTATCCTCTGGTCATTTCCACATTTCTCATCTCCCACTGTGACTCTGTAACTACTGCCAGTATAACTCACATGCTGTGTCGTTATATGCTGCCCCCTGCACATGAGTTATATGGTTTATTATCTCCACTTTCTTATTTCATCCCAGTAAAATTGACTCACCTATGGCTGCCTGTAATCTGCTGCTTGAAAATGAAAATCATCAATCTGTGAAACTCCTTAAAGTGAAGTTTCACCTGACAACAATTGTAGATCAACATATTGTATGTTGGCGTTTCAGGCCAGCTATTTGTGTAGTCTTTCCTTTCTGTTTGCAGCCCTTTACCAACACATCCCTCCGCTCCCGGGTCATCCCATCAGTATCCCCCAACAGAGATATACCATCTTTGCTGCCGTGTCCATCAAATTTGTTTCCTGTGGCGACAGGTCTGACCTTTTGCCCTGCGTGTGTCCAATCCAAATGCCAGTTCAGCGGACCAGAACGAGCAAGACACTCAAATGGTCCTGGCATTTGCAGAATTGCTTCCCTCTCTGTGGTTTTCTTCCATGCAGTTTTTTTTGTCTGTAAAGGATAACACTCTGCTTAAACTGCAGGGTATAAACCTCACTCCTGGATCAGAGCCAGATGTTACAACCCACACTGAGTCCCATGTGTTACTCCAGCTGGCATCTCCAGACTCCCAATGACTAGACTGAGTCAGAGCCCTTGGTGACCTGTGGATAGCTGGACGTCCCGAGGAATGAGCGACCCGGGTGAACTGTAACAGACCGGAGGGGTGAAGACATGTGAGATGAAATGAAGAGAACAGAGAGGTGGTTAGTGAGGGAGGGGGAGGTGGGGGGATTGATTCATATGTCAGGATATCAGATGTCTCCAAGGCAACAGAAGTTGTGAGGAAGCGGGTTGGCAGGAAGGAGAAAAAATGGATGGCAACAATAAGAGAGAGTGGGGTAAAAATGGACCCTATGACGTGTCGGCCATAATGAGTGATCATATGTGCTAAGAGTCAATGCAGACACACACACACACACACACACACACACACACACACACACACACACACACACACACACACACACACACACACACACACACACACACACACACACACACACAGTTCACTGTAAAAAAAAGAAGCAAGTGAGCAAACCTGGAGGAACACTACACCTCCTGCAGAGCTTTTGTGCAGCTTCTGTTCAGCCTCATTTCTGTGTACCCAACCACAACTCCTCCTTCGTATCCTTCCAGGAAGTCAATTGGACGTCAGCAGGGAAGATGGTGGTGGAACACTCTGTGGGTTGACTCCCTCAGCTGCTTTTTTCCACATATAATTGCATTAGTCGCTGCCTATGTGTTGGCACATCTGTCCGTCCATGGAGAGAACAGGCAACACACTGGTGCCGTTATGTATTATTCACTGAGGAAGAACACTTTTAGGTTTGTAATAACTTCAGTGTTAGACAGACATAGACATAGGGTTTGGCCCCTTAATGAGAGCAGAACAGACACATTAACCTTTTCTGTTGTCTGTCCTCCTCTCAACACTGAAGATCCTCAGACGCTTGTGTACAGATCTCATTATTTCGTAAAGGAAGCTGTTAACAGTGTGAGCATGAAGTGGTATGACATTCAGCTGTTCCTCCATTTTGATAAACTTTCAGATATTCTTTTTTATATTTATCATATTTATAAGGTCTCTCGTGTTTATAATAATACTTCAAGGTTTGTGTTAAAGTAACAATCATTTTTCAAGTAAGAAAGCTTAAACATTCAAACTTTACAACTTCTTTTCTACAGTTGTCTGTGATCAGTTTTATTAAATATTTACATGTAGATTGTTGTTGACACACAGGGACATAACCAACACTGAAAAAGCACTGATGCAGAGAATTTACACTAAATTATAAAATATCTACATAATTTCTAATCAAAATGTGCAAACATCTAATACAGCCCCAGTATCAGTCCTCATCTGTGTGTTTTTATCTGTTTTTGTATCACAGGAAAATCTATTTGAATTTGTCACTTAGGGTTCTAGAAAATTGTGATGAGCTCTCAAAACAATTAGTTAACAATATAATCAGTGGAATAGTCAAAATGATGACCAGTTGCACTGCAAATAAACCAACTAGTCTTGGGTCAGTTCTGAATTGCATAACTACAACTGATTCAGCACTGAAACCTTTTAAAACACGTTTTGCTTGATAAGTGTAACAGGTCGAGTGTCTGCTGGGTGCTGAGTGAGCACTGCCTGCCTCTCTGCTGGCTTCAGATGACAGACAGCAGTGGGTGAGGGTTTAAATGGGGCTCTGCAATCTATATGGTAAGTGGCTCTTTTTACAGGTTGATTACATCAGACAATGACCTCCGAGAGGACCTCAGAAGGCAAGACGTGTAATTATCTCCACTCAGAGCTGGAATAGCTGACATGCTTTACATGCCAGACTGAGGTTGACGTGATGTGGGTCCTCGCCACTACAGGTTGAACCGTCAGGACCGGGTTCCCTTTCACAACCTGGTGAAGGATGTAATGTTGAAGGTTTATCCTCCTCTCTAGATCTGGGTTGTCTGCATAGTTGCACCTGTGCGTGTGCAAACAGACATAGATATGTTTGTATGTGGATTGATAAATGTTATATGCATTCTGTAGGCACCTTTGCTTGACTGTCAGTTGACAAACGTTACAAATTGAATGTATTAGTTACATAAGTCCTATGTGTCTGAGAGCAAATATCCATACATCTGAGTGAGCTCAGAGGCAAATGTAGAGAAATATTTATGAGAAGGCAAGAGGGTGCCAGAAATATATGCTGATTTAATCACAAACAATCACCTGTATCAGCATTTGCTTGGAAAAGCCTCCAAATGAATATATTTGAACTAAAAATCATTATAATGGAACATTAGTAACTCATTGAATAGAAATATCCAATCAATTAATTTCTTTTCTTCAGACATTTTTCTAAATGTCTTTTTTAGCTGACCTTGAGCCTGTTAATTAGTCTAGAATGTGTCCATAACAGATCATTAAATCATTTAAAAACTTTTAATGTTGTTATGTTGTTTTCAAAATAAATGTACATTAATTTGTTACGTTTTACATTTTCTCAAGCTTGCACATGAGAAGCGGTCCTACAAACACAGTTTCTTTGACAGATTTCTGTATTTGAGCTTTAAGCCAAGAATATTTAATAAATAGATATAATATATAGAGAAATACGTTGATACTAACACGTTTTCATGTGTTTTTAAAGGAGGTTGGAATTAGAAGTTGAACCCAAGAGCTCATTTACTGTAAAGCTCTGCTTGTTTTCCTCTGCGAGCTCCCAATTAGCTGTGACAAGAAGTGCATCTGGATCCAGAACAGTCAAGCTCATCTCATTTTCCATCTGAGTGAGGCAGAGGCAGGTAGAGCTGACACCTATTCCAGGGCTATTCACATTGAATGTCTGTTAAACAGTTGTTTTTGTTGTTTGTTGCCTGCACACTCACAGCAGCTGACATTTACATTCCTAAATTCCTTCCTCTCAAGTCAATGCAGAGATGTTATTGGCTCTATGCAACTGACCTCTGATAAAGCAGCTGCTCTACCCCTCTCAGTCCATGGCTTACACGGCACTTGACTCAAAACCAAGCAATCTGGACAAATAAAGTGCTTTTTGTCCTACAGATCAATGAAGTCAGTGGGGCCCCTTCCTATTTTAGACAGACAAATGTATTTGTTGCCATAGCAAAGTTTCCAGGGAAACCGATCAGTCAGTTTAAACCCAAAGGAAGACAGACAAAAAAAGGGAAGAAGGAAAAAAAGATGTAAATTGAATTAAACCAAACAGTACACAGGTGCATGTGCACCACACAGACACAGCATTGTCTTTCTCAGCTGCATGTGCTTTTCCTGCTCAAATAGCCAGTCTTATTATATACAATGATTTGCTGAGACACAAAAGCTCTGTGCTAGTGAAAAGAAACAAGAACAAATGTGACTCTTCTGAGGCTCTTCGACAGAGAGCCATATTGAAATGCATCAGAGTGAAAACAATTAAACTGTTTTTATTCCTGGGGAAAGAAAACACAATGAATAAAGCAGACTGTGGTATCATTACTCTTATCTTATAGGTTATGTGCCAAAGTAGACTTGGAGCACACTTGGAAACTGCACAGATATCCCCACAAAACATCCTGATGTTGATGAGTTCAGACTGCCCTGGTTAGAAATGTTCAACCCACCTGTAAGATTCCTTTGCCTCTGATATGTAACCAGTGTGTTTTCCAGTGGGTTTTGTTGGGAAAGGCACAGTTTGATCTTATTGGTCAGCTGCTGCCCTGTGCCGTCTATAAAACGCATGACAAGAGCTCCGGAGCGGAGACTGTCTGAGGGCGCAGAGCAGCGCCGCGCAGCGCACAGGATTCACCCGAGGAGGAAACACCTGTTACTGACGGAGCAAGTGGACAGAGAGGAAGGAGTGCTTTGCTTTAGTGCTGTAAGTATATTATTTATACATTTCTGCCGACAGGAAGAGTGCGTTAACCCCATGAAGGCATTGGATGTTTGAGGATTTGGAAAACGGACCGGTGCGCAATTTGAGGAAGCCTTCTAGCACCTGTTGAACTGAATATTGGTTTGTAACTTTTATAGAATATTTTTTTCTTTTGTTTACATAAATCCACACAATCTAAAGGAGCTGAAATACAAATGTTGTTAGATAATTTATTTTAGGAATATTAATATTGTTTAATCTGGAGGGGGGGAAGTGAAATTATTTTTCCTGACATTTTCTTCACCACATTTTTTAGTAAATCTAATAATTAGAATAAAATATGTTTTTTCACACTTTAAAGAATAAAATGCACATAAACGGTTCTCAGTTGTAGCAGGAGACGAGGGGGCAGAAATATGTCATATGTTAATACAACGTCGATTAATAGTAAATCAAACAATACGACTTTAAAGTCTTTATACTCTTTTAAAAACGCAAAGATTCAAAAGAGAAGAGTGAAATAGTCCCTTTGTTGTTGTTGTTAATCTCTTCCTAGATTGACTATATTTACACCAATCAATGAAGCCACTCTGCTGCCTAAAAACAATTATGCCTCTGTTTCGCCTTGTAAATGTTGTAAAATGTTGTAAAGTTGAACTCTGGTTGATTTTGTACCATTTGTCTGTTCAAAGACTTCACGTTGCAGCCTATTGAGACGTGTTGGCTGAAATGTAATAACCCTTGTAAATGAACTGCAGTTCTTCAAAGGAAGCCTTTTTGAAGCGAGTCAATAGCTCCAAAAGTTAAGCTCAGATTCAACTGCAATATTTACTGTTTATTAAGTCTTGATCTTTTAAATACTTGAGGTTTCATCGTAGACTGCTCATCAGAGCTTCCACACCTTGGTGTTATTTTTATCTCTCTGGTCCCTGTGGAGAAACCGTCCTCTGATCATTTGCATCCTCCCCTGTGTGTTATTAATTACAGACACACCTGACTGCATCTACACCACACACCCACACATCCCACTGCCTGGTGGGACCATGTGGGTTCTGGATAAGATCCGCGGGTCGGTGGAGACTGGCGTGCTGCGACAGGGGGAGAACGGAGACAAAAAAGCTGCCACGCCATCTTACAGCAACGTCCTCACCCCAGACAAGATCCCAGACTTTTTCATCCCGCCAAAGCTGGTGAGCACCCCTCCAGAACCTGAGATTCCTAGCCTGAAGCCCAAAGAGGGACTGCAACCCTCAACTTCAGAGCAAACCATTGGCAGTGGAAAGAAGATCAGCAGCCCAAGAAGTCCACGGCTGGTAGCCAAGATTGCAGGGGACACCAAGAACTTGCTGAGAGCAGCAAACCGTCACATCATACAGATCGAGAGTGCTGATGATGTTGTGGCTGGAGACACAAATGCAGACCCCCAGTCGCAGACAGCGATGTCCCTGCCTTACATCCCCAAGACTCACACACCTTATGGCTTTGCAACCCTGAAGGAAAGCCCCCACACTCGCCGCAAAGAGTCACTCTTCCATTGCGAGCACACCAGTCCCATCACCTCCCCGAACACCCAGAGGAAGGGGAAAAGCAGCGATGGGGGAAACCATCTGAATCCGGCTGACTTCAACACCTCTCACATGAATCCTTATCGATACTTCAGCGGTGGGGAAAGTGACACTTGCTCCTCCGCTGAGTCCTCTCCCTTCAGCTCCCCCCTGCTCTCCCGCTCTGCCTCCCTGCTCAAGATCTTCACCCATGAGACACAGGCCAAAGTCGTGAAAGCCAAGAGGACGTTCGCTCGCCACAGTTCCCTCTCCACCGACGAGTGCAGCTCTGCCGAGCCCAGTCCCAACATCCAGCGAAGGCTCCATGTGCCCTCCTTGCACGGAGGTGCTGGGGGGTCAGACCACGGGCTCCACCGGGAGCACACCATCAACCTGCACAAAGGCGGGTCGTTGAGGATCAGCGCCAACTACGACTCCAGCACCTCCCGCCTGCTCATCCGCATCCTGGCTGCGGAGAGTCTTTACGACAAGCACTTTGACATCAAGAGCATCAACTGCTGTGTGTCCGTCTACCTGAACCCAGGCAAGCTGCAGAAGCAAAGGAGCAACATAATCAAGAACAGCCGCAACCCGGTCTTCAACGAGGACTTCTTCTTTGACTCAATAAGCTCGGTTCAGGTGAAGAACCTGTCAGTGAAGTTCAAGGTGGTGAACAAGGGCACCAGCCTCAAGAGGGACAATCTGCTGGGAGAGCGGGAGGCGCCTCTTACAAAGCTGCTCTCAGGGCTTTAAAGCCACAGGGGGCAAAAAAAACAAGGATGCTGACTGAAACTTTAATTAGATGTTTGCACTGGTTTCTATACAAACGGCTCTTTTTATTCCAATAGATGAAAAAGGCGAACTACAATAAAGGGAGGGGACAACAAAGGGTTTCCAGTAAGTGAAACATATTCCTAGAAGGAGGGAGGCTTTCTTTTGAGTTCTAAAAAAAGAAACACCAAGCTCAGAAAATGAATCACTTGATGTACATGGTCGGATGAAGGATTTGTGGTGGTCGAGGCCTGCCTGGTTGAATGCTCATTAAACCAAGCCGGGCTCGACAGCAACAGATGAATTCGACAGATGAAAGGGTTTTTTTTTCTTTTCTGGATGTATCTCCCAGCCAACTTCCTCAGCCAGGTCTGGTTCAAAGGTTGGACGACACCTGTGCATCAGCCTGTCTCACTGTCCTTGTCTGCATTGTGTTCGCCATGCGTGGCACGGTTTTATTATTGTAATGTGACAGAGATCCACAGCAGCACAGGATGTGATTCTGCTTTAGCTACATCATGTGTTCGGCACAAAGACGTTTTTGTGAATCAGTGCGAGCTTTGAAGTGGCACTACATCCTGATGTGCAAATGACCCTTTGATCCCAGTTGCCATGGCCCACCTCCTACAGGGGAAGGTGAGGGACAAATAGAGCAGTCACAATAGACACATTTACATGCACATCGAAAATAGAATTATAATGTGATTAGTAATGCAAGTAAGACTAAACCTGTGATTGCATAATCTCATTATGTAATTATTAACAGTTCTTAGTAACAGTTAATATCCCAGTAACGTATAAGTGCTCCAAAAATCTCAAAGTTTTGTAAATTTAGTAGTAGTAATGTTAAAGTTAAAGGTGACCTAGTAAACAAATGTTGAGTTTACATTCAGTGTCTCTTACCAAAACCCACTGTGTGAGTCGAACCTTCCTCATAAGACAACATTTGAAAATGTTATAGATCCTGCATTCTTTACGTCAGTGTTCACTTGCTAGCGTTCTTCTTCCTGACTGCCTTTGTTGGCACATTGTTACATTTGTTGGAGCGTTACACCAACTGTTGATTGGCAGAATAGTGTGAAACCAGCAGCAGGATGTGGACTGCACGACACAAACAAAATGGGGACCCACTTTTACAATCTCCACAGAGTATCTTTAAAGTTTATTTTTCTTGAGACAAATTTACAAAAGTTGTATGCGCAGTAAGAATATTTGAACCTCGTTCTAATGCAAATCAATGTATGTCAAGTAATGTGAAAGAAATTAGAATTTTTATTGATTCTAGAGACGCATTCAGACGCTCTTGTAACAAGTTGATTTCTATTATTCCAACAGAAAGGTTGAAATATTCTTAGTGCACTCGAAGATTTCTTTACTTCTTTTATGAAAGTTAAGTTTCCAAGTCTTTAACTGACTCACTGAGTTAATGAATGTGGAGCTATAAGGAAGAAATTTTTTATGAGAAACTTCATTCATATATTTGATATGCATTTTATTTCTGTCTGGTTGATGAAATCTCTTCAGGCTTATGAGGGACCTGTGTGGACACTCCAGCTGCAGACTGTCACGCACGCCTCATCCAGTGTGGGCACCTTGATTAAATCTTTTGCAACTAGGCAACGGGCTCCTGCCAAATAGATCCGACCAACATCTTCTCTCTCAATTCAGATCAGTCGGCGATACCTATCTGTTATTCTGCACACCAAAAACACAGCAGCAGGGACGATCAGCTTTTTTAGACACAAAAGATCTTTTAGACGTTTAAAATTTATTTCCACTCTATTTTCCATTTTCTAAAATGTTCAGTCACTAAAAGATGAGTCGGTCAAAATCATCTCTCCCAACATTTGTTTCTAAAGTAGCACCTGATGGATAGCATTTTATAAATTACTTTAATAGAAGTGGCAGTGACAAAGTGCTTTATTGTGATTTAACTGCGTTTTGATCCATTTTGACAGCAGTGGCACAAGAAACGTGGTTATTAAAAGTCAAATTAAATGCGTCTTTCATGTAAACAGAATTTAACACTCTTCAATTTATGCAACCAGTAAAATACAGAAAAATACTTGTGTGCATGTTAATGTATTAAATGTCTCATATGAGAAGAACAGAGCACTGGCGTGTACCAGTTGCATGGCATGAATATGTCAGTGACATACTGGTGTTTGCATGACATGCTCAAAGTTTTATGAAGCCCTAAAGCCTTACTGTGTGTGTGTGTGTGTGTGTGTGTGTGAGTGTGTTTTGATTAGCATGACATTTTGTCCAAAGTTGTTCATTTTCTATGTACGACATGTAGTATTTTGTAAAAATGTTTTTGATTGGTTTGAAATGACTCGAAACGTGTGCTGGATTTGTACTGTATATAACTACATGTGTACTAGTTTCTACGATTGTCAGTGAAATGCCAATTATGCACCAGCGAGTGAGAAGTGCTGATGAGAGGCATTTTAATTACGTCTGTTTCAATGTTAATGAAGCCCGGGGGAGGAGGCAGAAATGTCAAGAAAGAAATGAGGAAAACACGGCAACGAGGAAAACTATGTTATGTGTTTTGACATGAACATCCTTGAAGTACTCTGCTGTCCATCTGATGAATTAGAAGAAATTGCATGTGATTGCAGCCTCGAGTGCTCGACAGAGGAGAGCAACTACAGACAGAAAAGAAGTCAGAGACATCAGAGTGATGCAAATTACTGAGGTTTCTCACACACTGCCCCAAAGCTTCAGTTTAATTCTGTGAGAATTACTCTCAACTGGTGTTTGTAGCTCACTTGTAGCACTGCTATTGATATGGTCTATATACTTTATATACAGTGACACTGCTGGTTGTTATGGTGTGAAACTCGGGTGATCTGTTGTAATCCCTGTTGCAAACATACAGTGCCTGCTCGTAGAGTTATTGTATTTTCTACTCAAACTTCCTAAATTATACTCAACCTTGTTGTTACCAAACCCTTTCTGAGGTTTCTTCTAGCATGACTAACATACTTAAGTAGTGTCAGTACTAAACGTCAGTGGATTCTTATTGTTTAGTGGTGGGTCGCCTTGTGTTCTGATTGTAGATGAGGTTTCGCTGCCGAAACAAATGTTTATGATGATGATACCCCTGAAATATGGGTGACGTGTTCCGCAAATTGTCCAACTGAGTCCTATTTTTTTTATAACTAATTGTTTTGACTGTTTTCATGTGGCTTATCATTTAATAGAATTGAAATGCAGGGAGATAAACAATAAACAGTTATGCGACTGCTTCTGCCTGGCCAGGCTTAGCTGCTGTTATCTGGCCTTGTCACAGACTCGTAGCTGCAAATGGTGAAAAGTTTGGTCGCATGTCTGAGTAGAACAACCTTATCGGTAAACATATCTAAAGGAATATCTATTGTAGCTTAAAGAGATAGTCTTACCCAAGTCTTACCTTGATAGGAGGTTAAAAAAAAACTGTTATACTTAAAAAGTTTGTCTTTAACTTTATTTTTATGCCACAAGCTTACCAAAATCCACAAAAGATATTTGATAAGAAACCTATTTTGGACCCATGTTTCACTTCCTGTCTCCGAATGGTTCCAGAAAAGGCAGAAACCGAAGACAAGAGTGTAGGCTTTAATATGTCACATTTGACAACACAGCAGCACAAAGCTTTGAACACTTTGTGCTGCTCTTGTGGTAGATTTTGAGCTAAGCTGGAGGCTCAACGCATGTCTTATATTGGACAATGCTGAGAGGTGATAAGTCCTGATAAGCCCACTTGGAAAAAAGGGACAGTACCTTGTCTTTGTTCCCCTTAACTTTCTGAAAATCCTTTATTTAAACAGTACTTGTACTTTTTTGTCAAATTAGATGCTCTTATAAGTTTAACTAGACACTAGCCTTGATGGAGGCTTCAAAACAGATTTGATTCTCACTAGTGGGGAAAGAAATATGTGTCAAAGGCCTTGTTGTTGCTACATAATTCATAAAAAAAAAAAGTTCCTCTGCTAAGATAGTCTCCTGCTACTATTAGCATGTTAGCATTAATCTTAAAGTGTAGCTGATTTGACATTTTGAGAAAATGTCATGCCAAGAGTTAGATGAGAGGATTGATAGCACTCTCATATCTGTAAGTTAAATATTGAGCTAGAGCCAGGCAGGGATTATATTAGCTTAGTGTAAAGATGGAAAACAGGAGGAAACAGCTGGCCTGTGTGTGGAAACAACACGCCTACCAGCATCTCTGAAGCTGAGTAATTAATAACCTACATTATATTTTGTTTGTTTAATCTGTACACAAACTGAAATGTCAGAATGGCAAGTTGTGGTTTTAATGGGGGATAAGGTGCTGTAACTATTGGCAACCAGCACAGCGATCAAAAAAGGTGAAAAAATTTTGACCTGTCGGTGGCTCTAGATAAAATGTCAATCGAGCTCTAAACTGGGTTCTCCCTCTGAGGACTATGAATATATCAAATATTATGACAGTTCATGCGGTATTTATCAAGACATTTCATATAAGATCATAAGATATTTCAAGTGTTGAACTGACAGACATTGCTGTCCCCAGAGTCACACTGATTGCGTGGTTAAAAAATGCCAACCTTTATCTGATCTACAGAAGAATTAACTTTCCCATTATCCCTTCGCCTTTTGTTGTGGAGGAAATCAGTCCTCATATCTCTGCACTCAATAGCTGTTTAATTAGGTACAAGGTGCAGAGGCTTGACTGATAACATTTAAAATGAGAACTGAGGAGAACGTCAGTGCCTGCATGTGTGAGAGACTGAGAGCGGCGGTAGCCAGTTGGATGTTTTATTTAATTGATGGTCACTTTTTATTCGTTAAGCTGTTTTGATAAAGTGTATATATGCTGTAGCGTTTCTCAAGTCTTCCTGTCTTGACAGGTTCTCTATGAAAAATGAAACTGAAAAGTGCCGGTCCGTTACTTGACGCTGAAATCTTTAGTTTATTTCCAGGCTTAGATAAACAATGGAAGCTGGTTTCCATGTGCTGTTGCTGTTCTCGTTGTGCGTCTGGCCTACTTTTTTTTTGCTGTGATGCTACAACCACTGACAGCTGTCCTCTGGTTACTTACTGTGTTAATGGGTGTGAAATACTTTAATTAAAGGAAAAGTTCCACAGCATCTCTGCTTTTGTCGTTTTTGATTTACAGTTAATCTGTGCACGTATTTTAGAGCATTAATATTGCACGTTGGTGCTCACAGACAATGAGGGGGTCAGAACTGAAGGTCTGACATGAGTATACAGCCTGACTGATGTAGGCCAATAAGAAATCTGATGCATTGGTCAATACTGTTGTTCTCCAATTTTTAAATGGCCTTCAATGAGCTGCCGAAAATCTAAACCAAAACACACTCGACTGTTTGAAAGATCTACTGTCACAAAGATAAAATCAAGGATGTTTTTATTCGCTTATAAAAGGGTGACATTATCGAGATACATACATCAACATTTTTGATAAGGACTCACTCCTTTACTCACATTTGTTTCAAAGATTTGTGATAAAATAATGTCATGAGGCTGAATATTGATAATACACTATATTATCAAATATGTAACAGTAAATATAACACAATAAACTTTACTAGAAATAAATCATCATAACTATACAGAACTGGTATATCTTAAACTCCAATGAAGAAAAATGGAGGGTCAAATAGACATAAACAATAGTGTTCATTGTTGGAACTTTTCCAGCATTTTCTTCCTTTTACTTTCTGAAACTCTTTGCTTTTCAAACTTATGGAGTTTTGTACAGAGCCACTGCAATGAATATACAGTATAATGTAATCTAAAACTATGGGTATGAAATCAAATCCAGAATGAAATATGAAACTAGTTACTTCATTTATTATAAATTGCCCTTTTATTTTGGAGAAATTCAAAACAAAACAAGTATGTTTATTTGTTTTGTATAAATATAAGCAGGCAATTAACTAACTGCATTATGCCACTTTCCATTGTTCATCTGCTGCCGATGTTTCCTGTACAACAACAACAACAACAACAACGACACGGTTCAGCTCTGTCTTGTGTCTCTGAAGCTGTTAGGAGCTGCAGGTAAATGGAACATTCGCTTTCAGCATTAAAGAAGCAGACATAAATACTCAACCACTCAACATTAATAGTAACATGCAATACCAGTAAAAAAAACAATAAGTGATAGCAATAAGTAAAAACAAATTAAAGCAGGTATAAAACAATTAGACGGATATAAACAGGGACTCTCTTGTTGCTGGGAACAACAGATTGTGCAAATTAATTAAGTTAAGTGATTTTATTGCACCTAATAAAAAGTCATGTTAAAATCAATTTCACCCGGGGATTGAATACCTCGGCCTTAAAGGAAACATTTTTTTAATGGATTGTATCACTGGCAGCTTTGTTTGCAAACTGCTGCTCACCTGTAATGTCACTGGACGCCTTTGTCAACTTATTCAAGTGGTCACTAATAATGTGTCCATACTAAAATGAAAGACTGCAACAGACTGAACTGTAAGTGTGTTGATATTAAGAAGAAAATCATTGTTTTTTACAGATTGCATCAAGTTCTCATCAATAACTGTTCATCACCCATTTCTGTCCTTGTGATGACTGTGGGAAGATTTGGTTAGTGAGCGTGACCATGCAATAAGAAATAAAAAAATCTTGATTCGACCCTGTTGTGCTCAGCAGGTTGGGAGACACATTTCATCTGCACATCATGAATAGGAGAGGAAAAGGTGCTTGTGACTGACAAGATGGAAACATCCTGTTCCCCTCACGGCTCTCCTCTGACTTTGAGTAAATTCCCAACATTTTGTGTCAGGAGAGTGTCACCACCTCGCTCTTTGCCTTCCCTCATCTTTGGCTGTGTCTGCCTCTGTCCTTTCTGTCTCTCTAATTACTTGATTTTACCACAGTAATGTGACACTCTTGCTCCCTCAGACTAACACGGAGTCTTGTTAATGATGTCCTCCCACTTAAAATCCCATATCCTACAGAGTTTTCCAGCCTCCCGTCTTTCTCAACCGCTGTCCCCCTTCTACCTATAGCATCAACAGTGCCCACAAACAGAGATATTAAACATCTCATCTCTACCATACTGTCTTTAATTGGCAGGGTAAAAATACTGGACCATCACCATTATCCCCAGGGTGGAGTCAGTCCTGGAGCTGCCTGTTTAGAGAGGAAGTGTGTGGGAGGCGGGAGGAGACAGGAGCTGTTACACACCAGAGACAAACCGGTAATAACCGCTGTCAATGTCACATTTCTATTCCTCTGCATGCTTATTTGATTTTTTTAAAGCATCATTAAAGCTACACTAATTGATATTTTCATGATAACATTATTTCGAATGTGTAATCTGCCAGTGGTTGCTTGTATTTATGAGCCTACAAAGAATTATTGCACAAGTCTGCAGTTCCCGTCAGCTCTGAGGGAAGTTTTAGCACCTTTCATGTCATTGTTTTAGTTTTTAGGGTCCACAATGTTAATAAATGTTGGTTCACTCTCACTGCTTATATCAATAGTGTTTCAAGCTTCAGTGCACAGCTGTTTTCAGAATAAAAGCATGGATAAACCCACTTTACGCTTGCAGCTCATCACCAAACGACAGACATTAGAACCAGATATTTTTTCTCTGGAGTTGGAGGAGACCAAAACAGGAGAGTGAATATTGGACTTACATTTATCAGGCGACAACAAACATGACTACAAATAAACATGAATGTGTTTACAGGTTATTTCACCAACCACTAAGGGTTAAAACTACATTCTACAGCCATACTAGAGGCTTTATGAGACTATATGTCAAAATCAGCTGAGCTTTGAGCTAAGTGCTAACATTAGCATGCTTTGAATGCTAACATTAAGCAAGTGTAATGTTTACCATCTTCAGCGTCTTATAAATGTTATTATAAAAATTGAATTCTGAGTATATGAAAATGAATGTGTAACACATTTCATGGCGATCCATCTAACCCTAGTTGTCATGGTATTTTACTCAAAAACACAAATGTTTTTTCAGTGAAAATTAAATTTGTGATGCAAAAATGATCATTAATGCACTAACTGCAAATCATATCACAACCAATATCTGTCGAAAGAATTGCAATATGAGATTTTTAGCACATCATACAGCGCTTGTATTGTCTGCACTAGTGTCCAGCAACCTGACCTCAGTCTCTCATTGTCTCTCTGACTTGCAGAATTTGCAAAAGGGGAGTTTTGTAAAATCCCAGATGAGTCAATGGAGGCCATCGCATTGTGGAAACATCGTGACCTTAATGTGAGAGCAGATAAAAACTCTGTAGGAGCATCAGCCATCTTGCTTTTTCTGGATTATTAAAGTAAGCTAATGGTTTGGACGGTTGGACGGCTGTCAAGTTCAGCTAGGAAAGAAGTTTATCCGAAGTTTATCTGCTCAATATGTGAGGAAAAGGTGAAGTTGATCTACTAACAGGTAAGTTAAGGCAGATAATGTATTGTTTTGAGATACAGTAGTGTTAGCTAGCTACATGTTGACTACAATTTGTGTATTGCCAGTAATGTTATGCTGGTGGTTGATGTTGAATAAGAAATAAGAATAAATTAGCACTTGCTTGCAGGTGGTTCGGTCAGGTTGAAAGTAGGGCTGCACAGTTAATTACAGTATTTTCGCAGTTTAGCTAAGTGCAATATGCAAATCATAAGAAGGTAAAAATGTGTGTCAGCCTTATAATGAAGTACTGTAGAGATTCCCTGACCAAAAAATCTGGTTCTCCAGATTTCAGAAGTTTGTTTGTACAGACAAATATAACATCATCATGATTTGAATTGTTTTTTTCAGTGATAATTAAAATTGTGATTGGAAAAATTATCATATTGCAATTGCAGTATCTGTCAAAATAATCCTTTTTTTTTACTATATGGTGCAGCCCTAGTTGAAAGGTGCGGGTATGGACCATGTACAGGTGTCTGTTTTAGGCAGGGGCTGCATATGGGTCTCAAGCAGAGGGCTGGACTGACTGACATTGCTAAGCTTCTAGCACGGCTAAAAATGGATTGTTATTACTTATTTTAATTTGATTTTAACACCTTAAACAGCTCTTTTTGTGAGACTCAACAGGTTGGAAAGTTGTGGTCTGACCCTGTGAGACAGACAGGTGCTGGAAACTCTACACTCACTGATGAATACATTCACCTTTGGAATTTGTAGTGGTCAAATAAGGTGATAATCTCAAAATCAATCAACTCAATAGATTCACAGAACCCACAGCACACACACTTACTGACGGCTAATCTTTCTGTCCCCTTCTCCACCACTTCATTCAACAATTGAGTTACCTCAAACAACTTTCCCTGCTATGACTGAACATTTCCACTATTTATTATTCAGGATACCACACAAGCAACAGACTCATACTGTACAGATCCTCTTCCTCTCTCCTCATCCCCACCGTCCCTAAATTCATCACTCACACGCACACACAAAAATACTATTAGGTTTCCTGTGCCAGCTGCACATGAGACGATGCCACAGCCTACACCCGCTCACTGTGGCGGCAAGAAAATGTTTTCCAATATCCTTCATCTGCCATTGTTCATTTCCATCCTCTGCCGGATGCCTCTCGCAGCTTGTAAATTGATTTATAATGCTGTCTTCTCCCGAGTTGGGTGGAGGATGGGGTAAACACAAGGTAGGCTGGGTGTCTGGGAAGGGGTTCAGGCTATGGGTGTGACGTGGCGGCAGCAGTGAAAACCTTATACTCTGCTGGGCAAATTTGATTGGGGGAAATTTTCATTCCCGGCTTCCTCGACTTCAGGGAGGAAAGGTTTAGGGCTGTTATGGGCTTTGGGATTACTATGGCAACCACAGAGCACAGTGTTATCTGAGTGAAGGAATGAGACGAGTGTGTGTGTGTGTGTGTGTGTGTGTGTGTGTGTGTGTGTGTGTGTGTGTGTGTGTCAAGAGAGGGGTTGAGTATTGCAGTTTAAATTGCCATCCAGTGTAATTGTAGCACGCTGTGTTTTTCCTTTCACCATTAACTCTCAAACAAAAGATGAATTGTGGTGTGATGTTTAACTAGTGGCCCTCTCATTGTGTCCAGTCACAAATACTGAATGCTTTTTATTTTTATTTTGGTCAGAGGTGCTGTATAGG